CACCCACCCACCCACCCACCAAACTCCATCATAGTCTCTCTCTGTCTCTGTCTCTCTCTCATTCTCTCTCTTTCTCTCTCTCTCAAACAAATTTGCAACACTCAAAGACAACTTTCCAAACAGCACATGACAGGTAAAGGAAAAAGGAGTAATTTGGAGAACTCACTGTCCGGCCGGGAAGCCCTGGCTCTCCCGCATCACCTTTCATCCCCTGGCGACCCTAGCGTGGACAGGGAGAAGACAGTTCTCAGGTATTATGGAGACTAAGTTTAAAAGGAAGAAATAAGTCACTTATGCACCTTTATCACTTCATACGTCCAGTGTAAAGGTTCAGAGACAAGCACATAGGTCTGTTTTAAGGCAGATGAATAAACCAGTTTATTATTATTAATAATAACACTCACTTTCTCTAGTAAATGCCATTCTGTAATTTCTACTTTATATTGTAAGATGCTGTTATATAATGATAGAGTAATATACCTATTTGGAAAGAATATAGCTTAACAAAAGTGATATATGCATTACTTTTAGGAAGTTTTTGAGAGATGAAATAAGTAGGAAAACTTTTCTACAGTTATTCATTGCATATTCCATTTACATATCTAAAATAACATCCATCAAAGGAAATCGTCTGTCTAACTAGCCTTGCATTCTCCTGGAAAACATTTTAATTTAGAGTCACATAGACCATACTGCAGATAAGCCAGTCCTAGTGGCTCAGAGCTTTCATCCCAGCTACCCAGAAGACTGAGGCAAGAGAATCAAAAGTTCAAGTTCTGCACTGACTACAGAGTGATCTCAAGACCCCCATCTCAAACCAGGAAGTTTGCAAAGGGTTGCAGATATAGATTGATAGTAGAGAGCTTGCATAGCATCTCTGAGATTTTAGGTACAAACCCTGCTACCAAAAATAGCTGAAAGGAGAGACAACAAAACAGGTAAGAAAAAAAAGACATTCCATTTAAACACATTGTTAACCCAACACTTCATTTGCTACAGTAAGCTTTTGTGCTTACCTGTTCTCCTGGAATGGAGAGTCCATTGGGTCCCTGGGGGCCTGGAGGACCCTGAGGGCCTGGAGGGCCTGTATCTCCACGGGGACCTGGAGGCCCCTAAAATATATGAGGAAAAGAGAAAGGGGAGAGAAGGGAGGGAGGTGATGTAATTCCCTCCAGTGGGAACATTCAAAAGTTTCTCTTCATAGCCTGAAAGCATCATCACTTAATCTTCGTAAACATTCTAGAAATATATACTTTCATAAAACTGTGCTGATGACACTCTTTCATTCCCGTTACTACACATTTAAAAAGTGGAATGTGCGATGAATTCACAAGAACACTTAGATTTCAATAAAAGTCCTATTAAAAGTAGACTTTGTCAAGTGAAAAGCATTATATAATATGTGGTACATTCAAAGAGTCCCAAGAGCTCAAATTTCATTAAATTTAATCTATAATACTTGCTCATTTTGTCTGAAACCAAGGATAATGATGTAACCTGAGGTACACTAAACTAAGGTCAAATACCACCTCCAAGGAAATTTAAACAACTGGAATTCAACATACTGATGAATATTAGGAGTATTAAAATGTACTTACAACTGCACCATTGATGCCTCTTTCACCTCTGGGACCTTTTGCACCAGGTCCTCCCTAAAACACATAAACAGAACACATTTTGGTGTGAGCATAAGGAAAATAGAAATTGATACATAAAAAATAGTGTTTCAAGAAAGGATGCAGTCCCTAAAAGGTCACTACTTCCAAGCTACTTGCAAAATATTAAAGTAAAACTGCCATGTCATAGCTGGTATGCAGCTCTGTGGCCAGTCACTTGCTTAGCATGTGTAAAGCTCTGGTTTGAGCCCCAGCATGGCTAAGTAATAAATTTGTATTATACAAATGCACAGGAAAATAGAATTTTAAAACTTTGCACATTCTTTGCTTCCTCTTGTTCTACTTACAGCACTTGAATAAAAGAAAGATGTATTTGAGAATTGTTTGAATTATATTCTTAAAGGAAAATAATCAAAAGGATTATATTCTTCAAGAAAAATATCCAAATCTCTCTGGACCTCAGAGCATGCACTTCATGTGCTATGTTCATGGTGTGTCTATATCAGGTGCATATGTTCTAGGTTCTAAGTAAGTTGTCTTAATCAGATTTCCAAACCAGGGATCTATTCCATTCATACAAAAACCTTTCAGGAGATGTAAGACATTTCCAAACTCTTGAATTTACAGATGGAAACACAAACTTGTGTTCTTAAGAGAGAAGTCTTGAAGGGTGCCAATGTTGTTATATCCCTGGGTGGCTAGAGAAACAGGCCAAGCACCAGAACCAAATTATCTTTGAAAAAAAAGAATTCTTATTACATTTATATATTTATTCCACAGCACATGAGTGGAAGCCAGAGGGCAACTTGCAGGATTTGGTTCTTTTATTCCACCATATGGGTCCCATGGACAAGACACAGGTCATTAGACTCAACAGTAAGTACATTTATCCAGTGACTCATCTTGACAGCTCCCAAATTTTCTGTTTGATTTACTTCATTTCAAATCTCAAAATCTATTATAAAGCTGGCTGGAAGTTTAGCATATTCTATCATCAAAAACACAAATGGATAAAAAGCATTTTATGGCTTCCATATTGACAAACAGGTGATCATTCCAAAGAACCCCCTCCAAAAAACTTTCAAAACTAAACGATAATGATAAGTAACTATTTTGGTCTCCTTACTGCAGGGCCTGGAGGGCCTGGAGGTCCAACGCTGTCCTGTGTACATGTGCAAGCATTCGGAAGAGCAGGGCATTTTGCTTCATCTCTCTGAAATTTTGAAAAGATTATTTGTACATAAACTTAGTAAGGAGTGGAGGGTGACATCCCATCCTCCAACCCTATTTACATCCGTGAGAATCTGTTTCCCAACTGGAGGAAATAACTGCTAGTTATCATTACTTATAAATGGTCTAACATTAGAATTTGCTCAAATCCTTTGTGCTTTGCTTGAGCCAACCTCACATAACAAAGTAAAGCAATGTTAATAAGTTTAATAGGACCATGGGTAATTTAGCCCAATTTTCTTTAATCCCTGTTATAACAATACTCTGTGTGTGTGTGTGTGTGTGTGTGTGTGTGTGTGTGTGTGTGTATCTTTTTAAACATCAACTAAGGTTTTTGTTCAGGAAAATATAATGCAAAGCCCTTTCTTTCCGTGGTCTCCAAAGCTCTCCCTATTCTGTAACCTGCATGTGTGTCCCACTGTGTGCTATTTTCCTACTTCACTTTCACTATGGCCCAGCACTGCCCCTGTATGTCATGTTTCTCAGATAACTGGAGCACACTATGGGCCCTAGAGCTAGAGTATCTTCCTCTATCATCCACATAGTTTGCTCCCTCAGTTCACTGGGACCTCTGCTTAACTCTCTTGCTACCAAAAGTTGATGGCACCTGCCACCACTACCCCTCCCTTCACCCCCACTATGAAGCACAGATTATCCCTAGCTATCTGGGGCTATTCGTTCCAGAACGTCCTGAAGACACCCAAACCTAGGGATACTAAAATCCCTCATATAAAATGCCACAGGTGTTGCATGTAGCCTAAGTACATTTCCCTGCATACTTCAGATCATGTCTAGATTACTTAGTATAGTATAAGCACTATGAATAGCTGTTACCTTATGTGATTTAGGGAATCATGGCAAGAAAAATGTCTGTATGAGGTTGATAAATATATCAGTTAGGAAATAAATATATATTCTTTTTGATATTTCCAGTCTGTATTTGGTTGAATCCACACATAAAAAGCCCAAGTCAGGGAGAACCAATGTATCTATTTATTAATTTCTTCCATTGCCTTTCACAGATACTCATTTTTTACTGCTCCAACCTTAGCATATTGAAGGGTTAGTGGCTTCTAATAAGTGTTCACTAAATATTTAAATTGTCATTTACTAGCAGATGAACGCAGCTGTGCCTTCCAAAAGCCTGAACTTTATAACTATTACCACCTATATATAACACAAACACACACATATGCACATGTATGTATGTATGTATGTATGTATGTATGTATGTATGTACGTATTCACTCCTTCCATCATAAGATCCTTAGTAATGCAGAACAGTGATATTTTTAATCAGTAAAAGGCTGTTAAACAGTAGGAGGTCTGTAGTAAGTAGGTTTATCAAACACATTGGCTCAGCATGCCCTTCCAGGCTGTTGTTGAGAGAATTTCCAGATATGGTCTTGTGCATGCCTACCCTTGTAGCAGAGGGTCATGTGAGCCCTGGCCTGTGGTGGCTAGAAAGCACGCACACATTGCACATCGCTGGGCTCCAATCTAGAGCTGAAGCTGATGAGTGCTATTTCCTCTTGCAGAACTTTTGCATCATAAGGATTTTTTTCTTAGGGACAAGTAAAGCCAGGACAGGTCTTACTCACCCTAGAGGGAATGTCACAGCATCTGTCTCTGCTGGTCCACACTGGGCTGCAGACAATGTCAAAGCTCTGGATTTGGAACTGCAAACAACCAACAGCCACATCAGCTAAGCACGCAGGAAGACATTTTAAACATTGTACTCTTGCCAACTTCAGGCAGATTCTCTCTAGAGCTTACACTCCTGAGAGCACTGTTATGTTTACGTGGTAAGGGGAAAAAAGAAAATATGTGCTTGCATCCGACAGTAATGGGAACTGTGTCTGCCAAGATCCTATTCCTGATTCACTTGCTGAAAAGAAATGTTTGAGCAAGTTATTTAAGAACGTTAGTTTCTGTGTTTAAATTAATTTAAACACTACAAACATTTAAATCAACCTTTAAAGATGTGTCTTTGTAGAAAAGTAATGTGAAAGAAAGTTTCACGTTAGTCTATAGTTGGTGATCTTTGCTTTAGAAATTGTCTAGAAATAGACTAATAATTTTTACGGCTCTCAATTGAAGTATTTCAATGAAGTACATGCCTTCTGTCTTTTTAGAATGGAAGATGGAAATGTTCAGACAAAAGGCAAGAGGCTGTCTAGACATAGCCATTCTTTTAAATATCTGATGACTGTTTCCTCTCTGAAGCCAGGAAGTACATATAGGCTATCGGGGGAGAAAAAGACATTGACAGCTCACCCAGCTATCAACTCCACAAACTACAATTGCAACCTGCCTAACAAGTAACCAACTGCTTTCCAATAGGATCTGAAGTCTGCTCCACCAGAGGGAATTCAAACTGTAAACCCAGTCAAATTACCCTTGACTGGAGAGGTCTGAGGCCCTAGGGGTGAACTTAATACAATTCTTAAATTGTCATAATACTAATCTGCCATCTAAATATTTATAGACAAATAGTATCCCCAGCTTTAATCAGAAGTTTCTCTTTGCAGTGAATGGCAGTGCATGCAAAGATACATGGCTGTCGATGGTGCTGGGAATACATGATGGAGAGTGCTCAGTCCTGAGTAGGACATTTAAGCCACACCCTCTATGCCAACCTTTTATGCCCCCCTCTCTATGGCTCAGGGAAAAATTATAGTAGGTAGAAAGAATGTAATATCTGGGAGACAAGAGACAAACTATGAGAGGCTGTCTTCTGAACATCACACAGCCAATGCATTCATCTAACAGTAAGTATGGGTGCTTGCAACGGGCCTACACAAGATTGGGTCTGTCAGCTGTCAACTGGGGGTCGGCAAGGGGTTCATAAGGCCCCACTTCTCCCTATTAGCTATTAGCCACTGATAAATCCTGGGAGAAAGGAAGACACCATCTTCAGTTATGTAACCACTGATGAGTCCACCAGATACCAATGGATAATTCCAAACCTGTGGTCACACAGCCAATAGTTGGGGGGGGGGGGGGGAGGGGGGGGGGGGGGGGGGGGGGGGGGGAGGACATGAATAAGAATATCTGACGATAGCTTTATTTAAATATCAAAATCAAAATGTGTGTCTATCATAATTTTATCAAATTTAAACTAATTATTCCCATATTGTAGTAAAAGAAATCATTCCCTTTCAAATCTAAAAGAACATCCTGTCTACAGAAGAAAACTAAAATAATGAGATTCAAAAATAATAATAACAAAAGCCAAAACTGTTAGTTTCTTGTACAATGTTTGTTGGTTGACTTTTAGGATTTCTAATGAGCCTGGGATAGTGAAAGCTTGAGAATGAAGTCTCCATTTCAGGATCACATCGTGAATAGAAGCCATGTGCTTCCCTTAAACCTAAGGCAGTGAAACTTAAAAGCAAGTGTCAGTTGGCTGCTCTACCACGATATTCCTAAGACAGACCTCTCTGTGAGTGACAGCAACAGCTAATGGACAAGGAGGCTTCATGTCCCAGTTGCACAAATTCAGGCTAACAATTATTTTTTAAAAATGAACTCTTCTGACCTTGCTGGATATGTAAGCAGTTATTTTCCTTGTTTCTTTCCAGCATGACCTTGTTTTAAGAGATTACATAGTGCTTCTTGGTGCCTGGGTATCTTATTTTGATTTCAGTAGTAAAAAGTACATTTTAATATTCTCTTGGCAGCAATTTCTCTGAGTGTAATTTTCCCACACCTGTAACTGACTAACATGATAGTTTAAAACTCATAGAGGGAAATAAATAAACAGATAAATAGATAAATAAATAAATAAATAAATAAATAAATAAATAAATAGAATTTTCTGGGAGATTTAGAAAACATCATGTCAATCCTATTAGCTACAAGACTAAACATCAAAAATACTAAAATGTACTACTTACTGTCGCTGATTTCCTATCTCCTTTAAGAAGCTTTCCAAGAATTTCATAGCCATCAGTTGTGATATTTCCAGCTTCCTTGATGTCTTTTTCCACAATTTCATAGCAGTCAATATAAATCTTAACACTTTTTGAGGTCACTACAATATGGACCTAAAAAGATAATTTCCACTATGAAAATTCTATCAAAAAATAAATGGACTTCTGCACAGTATATATCACATTATAAATTGTTTCTTAAACCATTTTCATTCCAAGCCTAAATAGTCTTGGGTTAAAAAACCAAGAACCCAGGTTTCAAATGATGCCATATGAAATAGTACTAGCCACTCACTGCATTTCAGAGTCTATCATCCATATACATGGGCGTAATTTCCTAATTTCATTTTAACTGCGTGCTCTCATTAAGACAACCAGAGAGGATGAAGTGCACAACAGAACTCCATAAACTGTGAAGAATTACCTCATCATAGATTAATAAGCCACTATATATTTCACTCTGTAGCAATGAGCTGTAGATACCTCCCATTGATGGCAATTCTGATTTGTCCACCCTCCCATTCACAAATAAGCTGTATATCTCATGGCTCTCTGACATAGTAAGAGCTAGCACACTATCTAGAGTCAGACATGGAAGTCAGCAGAACTCAAGACTCATTTAAGGAAAGAAATACATGTTGACTGTACTGCAACTGCTACTGGATGTGGGTGGGAGGACATGAGCAAGTCTATTAGTACAGAACATTAATGAAGCATTTGTATTGAAGCAAGGAAGAGAATGGTTGTTGGCCTCAGGTACGCTCATGGATTCTACTATCTCAGCACAAATACTTTAAGCAAGAATTTGGTGATTACTGGAAAAGTTTGACAGAACGTTAAAAAGAACAGAAATAGTTTTAACTGCTCTGAAGCAGGTAGAATAAGAAATTTTCCTAAAGTTTTATTTTAAAACTAAATATTTTTCTTACAAGGGGTCACCACCAAAGCACTGGCTCATAACATCTATGATAAATAGGAATTGCATGTTTTTATACACGAGTGATTAATAGCTTGCTAAAAATAAAGTTTAAACATCTGTGAGATAGTCAACTAATACTGAACTCAAGAGCATCACATAAGTATTTCTAGGATATTTAGTATCTAAAAAATTCAAACTTTTTTCTGAGTCCTTAAATGAACAAGGACAGAAATAAACATTCACAGGGGTTATTTCAAAATCAAAACCATCTTAATTTATATCATTCAAAATACATTCATCTTTCACTGTGAATGTCCTAAGAACACATTTTGCTATAATTTATTCACTCATTTTACTGCATTTAAACTTGTGCATAATTACATTTCAACATGGATTCTTCATCTGTAGATCACTGGCCCAAGAATTCAGGATTACATTTGCCTGAATTGGGCCTGAAGAAGACTGGGCCTATCATCAGTCAAGCATGGATGGGGAGGACTCACAAGGCTAGAGTCTACCCTACTTAATAGTTATTAGCTACTAGTAGATATGGGGGCAGCACAGTCATTGTCTTCAATGTATACTACAAGTGAGTCCCTTAGGCCCCAATGGATACTTTGAAACTCATGGTCACACCAATTGCCCCGGTTTTAACTCAGTTAGTCTCACGACAAAACACAAAGACATGAGTATGAGAAAGGGACTTGTAAAGAGGAGAGATCTGACAAAAGTGGGAGAGAAATAAAAAGTGGATGAGTGTGAGAATAACTCAAATGCATTATGTGTGAAATAGTCAAAGAAGAAAATCCATAAAAGTTATATGTTAGCCACATGGCCTTACGGATGAAAGTTATATAATTGGGGGATTTACTGGAGTGATGGTTCAATGCCTAAGAACACTTGCTGCTTTTTCAAAGGACCTGAATTTAGTTCCTCTCATCAGAATGGTGGTTAACAAGCACCTGTAATTCTAGTTTGATTGCATCTCATACTCATTTCTGGCTTCTTTGAGCACCGTCCATGCATGTAGTGTGCATACACTCAAGCAAACACTCATACACATAAAATTAAAATAAAGAATGGTGTTGAGAAGGAAAATGAAAACACTGTAAAGGTAAGGAACTTTAAAACAGTAGAGTATGGAGAAAAGAAAGTTACACGTGGTATAGCTCAGCCCACCCCAGACGAAGGCTACTCTCAGTCTTAATCAAAGAAGTTTCTCTTTGAAGTGAATTAAGGTGAATGAGAGACCCTTGACTGAAAAAGAGGCTAAGAACAAGGAATGGTTGAGAGCTAAGCCCTAAATAGGACATTTACACCACTCTCTTAAGGCTCAGGGAACCCCATAGAAGAAGAGGCAGAAATAATGTAAGACCCAGAAGTCAAAGAGAAGAGCTGTAAGATTCCATCTTCTAAGTAGGACATGGTCACAGCAATCATAGCAGCTGTGCCTATTGGCACTGGGTCCACACAAGTGAAGTCCCCCTAAAAGTCAACTATGAATGGGGAAGAAGATCACAGGATCCTACCACTTACTGATGATCTATTGGCAACTAACAGATTCTGGGAGAAGAGAAGCATAATGTCCAAGTGCACACCCGCTGGTGAACCCATGAGTCTCTGGTGATTAGTTCTAAACTCAGGTCATACAGATAGCCTGAGTTAAACTGTGGTGAGCACTAAACTAATCAAAAGTTAGTAAATACAGAAAAGAGATTCATAAAGCCGGAGTGCTGACAGGAAGGAATAAAAGAGGGTGGAAAAGGTAACCATAACATACATATAATTTTATATATATAATTTTCAATCAACAAAATGAATTATGAAAAAGACAAAAATAGAAGAACACAGAGAATTTTGGAAAAAGAGAGAGCCAGTGAGGAGAAAGAAATATGAAAAATATGGACATATCTCTAGAACGACAAATAGTACAAGGAAGGTGATGCCAAGAAAATTTTATCTTGATTTGCAATAATTAATTACTGTAAGTACAGATCCCTAAAAATACTGCCCCTTTGGCGTAAGTAAAATGAGTTCCATGAAAGTTGGAAAATTTAAAATAGCTACAAAATGATTACAAATTGTTCAGTTGGAGATTAGGTTCTTAGCATCTCCAGTGACTCTGAAAGAAACATAAAATCATCCTTCTCAGCATGCTACTCAATGGTAGTTTTAATAGGTTTATCAATGAGCCAAGGCTGTTCCTAAGAACTTTGCCAGAATCAACATCTCCTACTGGATAAGGATGAGCCAAAGTCAATCACATCCCCAGATTAGCATTTGCTTTCCCAAGAAGAAACTTATCTACTGCATCGCATCAAAGTCTATAAAATTTTAAGCAAGAAATACTATACTATATCACTTGGAGATTTTTTTGGTTTTCTCCATTGCTATATTGTTGTTGTCAGCATTCTTGCCTCCCATATCCACAAGAAAGCCTCTTGTCTCTTTAAGCTATATCAGGAAAGCCCTTCCCCATCCTCATCAACAGTCTAACTATCTATTCTATTGTGGATAGATAGGACTTAAGTAGGGGAATCAAACAAGAGAAAAAGTAATGAGAGAGGGAATGAAGGGAGAGATAGCTAAAACAAAGGGCCACCCAAGGGGTCATATGGAAACCCAATACAGTGGAAGCTTCCTGTAATATACACATATAAGAAATCAATCAAAATGAAACCACAAAATAACAGGGAAGACAGAGCCCCAACTGGACATCTCTCATCACCAAATAAAGCTTCCAGTAATGGGAATGGGTTACATAGAATCAAATTGTTGGCAAATGGGGTCCCATGGTAACCCCCAGACAACCCAGGCTATCGTCAAAAATTTTAGTGATGCTTTACAAACTGACAATAAGGTCCTATTGCTGAAGACAACACCTACCCAACTGATTGAACATAAAGAAATCACACTTATGCCTGCCTAGAGCCTTCACCTCTATGGATTAGTCTTCATGGTACTGGAAGGTACTCTGCACACTACCAGAGGAGCATCTTTGGAGGTTCTTTGTCTCATAATGTTAAGTCACGGTGGGTTTTTTCTACCTTACAGGTCCTTTGTGTCTATATTATGGCTTCTGCTTCAGGGTTTTTATGGTATCCCTGAGTGTGTGAACATTTGTATCTCTGCATCACTATGCATTTCTTATGTCTTTTCTTTGGCCCATTTTCTTGTTTTGTCATATTCCAATTTGTTTGTTTTTATCTTATTTTATTTCATTATTACTTCTTAGATACCAGTTTGTTCTCTAAGGAATGAAAAAGGATGCTGATACAAATGAGAGTTGAGGTGGGGAAGAACTGGGGGGAGTATGGGAGGAGAAAACATAGTCAGAATACAGTGTACCAAAACCTATTTTAAATAAAAGAGTGAGAAGAAATTCTCAAAGAACTAATATTTTAATACAGAGGGAGAAGAGAATCTAATTCATGGATTAGAAAATGCTATGGAAAGAAATTAATCATGCTTGAAAGCATTAATCAGGAAGCGTTATCACTGACCTACTCAAGCAAGAGAAAGAATGTTCATTTTCACCTGGACACCTGAAAGAACTAGAAAGGAATGTTTTTGTGTTTGCAGCTCATCTTTTGGTATGTCATACACAGAGAAATTTTATATGAATAGCACAATAACTTGTATTCCCATTAACACAATCCAGTACTAAAAATCTGGTATGAAAAACAGCATTAAAAATGTATTGATAAACTAGACTGTTCCTTTTGTTTCTAATACATCCAGGCTCATTACTGCTCTATGTCAACTGATTGCCCTTTAGAAACCTGGAAGTTTCAATAATCCTCTAGATGCCGACAAAAACTCAAGATCTCCAAGAAAAAGGAACAACCTCAAATATATCTTAAAACTTTAAAGTGGTTATTTAGAAAGCTCTGAATTAAGAAATTGGTGTTCTTAGACTTTGTGTTCATGTAATGATCTATTATACATTTGTCTTAATTATTTTATCAGCTATTGTGAATGCTTGGACTTAAAAATGTGTATTCTAAACTTTTCTTGCATGCTTGTAACATTGAAATAGGCAAACAAGTAAAAGAAAATGCCTGCACTCTATAAAATGATAACATGATCAATTAAAATAAAATCCATTAAATTATTAAGCTCCCTGAAATAAATGACAGGAGTGGTTACAATAAAGTTGTGAGTAGAGGAGCTAGAGAGGTGGCTTAATGGTTCGGAGCACTTGTTGCTCTTCCAGAGGACCTGAGTTTAGTTCCTAGCTCCCAGGTCAAATGGCATGCAACTAACTCCCTGCAACTACTGCTTCAGAGGAATACAATGTCCTCTTCTGGGATCCAAGTACAGAAGTATACATATGGCATATACTCACACAGACAAACACACAAACACATAACTATCAATAAATCTTAAACTAGAAAACATGGGAAGCAGAAAACAGGTGAACTTCATTATATACAAATATATAGTTATTAATTCAAACTTTGAAAGATACAGTGAAAATATATCAACATGCTAATGGCAGTTTTTGCTTTATTTAAATTTTATCTTTTGAACTCATCAAATTATTTAAAACAAAGGTTTATTTGTAAAAAGACATTAGCTGGAATTCCAATTTAGTGTAACATTAAATGCAAAAAAATAGTTAAGCTTTTGTTTTTAAGCTCATATCCTTATTCTAAAAATAAGACTCAGATAATCTTACATTTTTACCTTATGAAAACTTCCGTAAAATAACGTCTTCACTTCATCTGTGTCAAATGTAACAGTCTGTACCTCGCCTCTTGTATCCTTGTTAAAGAAAGATAGTGTCTTGCTGGAAGCTGCAATCAAGATAAGATCATTGTCAAATTATATACATGGTGTGCTTCTTACTCAAAGAACACAAGTAGTTCTTGCTGGAGAAATTGAAAAGAAGTTCACTATCTTGCAGGGAAGATGTGTCCACTGGTACAATAGTGGCACAATCATGATGGTGAAACCAACCACTTTCTGATTGGATCTGAGGCTGACTCCATGGGAGAGATTTCAAGCCTGGCACTGTATACCTGAAAAAAATTCCACAGCTGAGGAGGCCACAGGCCAAAATGAGAGGGTGGTCTACTTCTATTCCTTGACTACATTCTGAATACTCATGTTCATAACCATAAATTAGCACTGCTTTCAGTCTTCGTCAGAGAAGTTTCTTGTCACTGCAAGCAGTGGTTACTGCTGAGACTCATAACTAGTCAAAGTGTCAATAATAAGTAATGGTGGGGTATTTGGCCCTAAACAAGAATTTCTATCACTCCTTCCAAGACTCTGGGAACAATGAAGAAGAGCAGGCAGGCAAAAACAATGTAAAAACAAGAGGATAGAAAGATGTACTGCAAAACAAGCAAACAAACAAACAGATGTCTTCTAAACATGGCACAACAGCTGCACTCATGAGCTCACTGTAGTTGTGGTTAACTGCACAATGCTTGCACAAGATTGGGTCCCTTGACATTCATCATGAATGAAGGAGGGCTCATGAGGCCACACCTCTCCCTGAACAACTACTGCCAATTAATGCTTGCTTCGGGAGAAAGGTTATCATTTTCTTCAACGGGGTAGCCATTGAAAAGTTGTCCACACTCCAATAAATAAGTTCTAACTGCTCATGTATGCAATCCAAATGAAACTTAGTACTTCACAATAAAATAAATAAATAAATAAATAAATAAATAAATAAGGGCAAGAGGGAGGGGTCTTTGCAGGAAGAAGGATTTCAGCAGAGAAGAAAAGGGAAATGAGACAGGATAATGGAGGTGAAAAGAACTAAAATTCACTATATATTTATATATATATATGTATATATAATTTCATATTATATATGTATTAATGTATTAGTAATATGTATGTAATAATGTTATTATATTATAAAATTATCAAAGAAAAATTAAGTTTTAAAAGTAAATGAGAAAAAAGAAATATAATTATGCCCATTGTGAGAAGATGCAATTTGAGTGTTTGTTGATCAAAACTATACATAGTTTAGTTGATTCTGTGAGTTTTCTTGTGGTGTCCTTGACCCCCTACAATCCTTTCTCCACCTCTTCTGTAGGATTCTTCCATCTCCACCTAATGTTTAACTGTGGATCTCTGCATCTGTTTCCATCAGCTGCTGGATGAAGCCTTTCTGATGAAAATTGGGCTAGGCACCAATCTAGGCTCATAGAAACTAAACCCAACAACCAGGGAACCTGCATGGGACTTACCTAGGCCCTTTGCATATATGTTACAGTTGTGTAGCTTGGTCCTTTTGTTGGACACCTAACAGTAGAAACAGGGGCTGTATCTCACTCTTTTGCTGGCTTTTACCCTACTGCTTATATTGGGTAACTTGCCTAACCTTAATACATGGGGAGGTGGGTGCTTAGTCTTACTGTAACTTGATATGCCATGTTTTCTTCATACTAATGGGAGACTTGCCCTGTCCTAAACAGAAACAGAAGAAGAGAATTGGGAGTGGGAACAGAGGCAGGGGGTGGGAGGAGAGGAAAGATGGAGAACTGTGGCCAAGATGCAAAAACAATTTAAAAAATAAAGAAAATATACATAGGCCTTAACATAAGATAAAGTCCCTTACGATCTGCAATCACTCCAACTTGTGGCCTGTAGTCTCTGTCTGTAATTTGCCAAATTGCAAAGGGGTCACTGGGAGTTTCTGGGAGAAGTCTAAACAATAATATGATCGTGTATGAAGGAGGGAGTCCATTTGGATGGAGTTCTCTGTTGGATAAAGCAAAATAAATAAATAAATGGGATTATTCATCAGAATGAGACCATTTTAAACTTTTATACAAGAATTTCATTATAGGTAGTATTAAAACCTAATTATAGTCATCAGGCCTTTAGAACAGAAGGAAAAACACATTAAAGGAACAAACACTTAATCAATTACTTATAGTGTGATAAAGTCACAAAAGTGTGGAAAATTACTAAATAGCCTTTATCTTCCTATCCATAACTAATTTTTTCTAGATACATGAAGTACTCATTTTAAGGTAACAAACATTATGACTATAGATACCATTTAAAGAAAGGGAGTCTGGCCCAAATATACTTAATTTCAAGTGACAGGAATATGCTAGTGTAGATAAAATGGCTTAAAGTTTTAATTTCTGTTGTCCTCACAATATTTCTATACTTCTAAATTCCTCCCTTAAAATCAAGTAAAGCACCTCAATAAACTTACATTTCCCCCAAAACAGGACCAATCCTAAATGTTTAGGCCATGTGCATATGCAAACAATTAGTAATGAAACAGGGACGTGATTCAACTAGACAGAATGAGTTTTGGCTCTAAAGACATGAGACAAATATTTCTGTCTCTTGGGTCCTTCTAGCACTGAATAAACCATTGTTATGGGAGAATTTTGGAAATAGAATCATAGCTTTTCTGTCTGATACCACATAATACTTTTTCCCTGGAGGCAGGCAAAGGCCTAAAAAGTGTCTCCTGGGGATGAAGGATCTATTCCTTGGCAGAGGGCACAGAATGTCTCTGAATGCTCCATGTCCTAATGCAATGTCACTAACACATGCTAGGGTGGGATGCATTCTTGCTCCTTGGACATAAGCTCTGAGAAAGCTAACACAATACCTTTTGTGTGTTCACAGTTAAAAAAGCTGATTCTAATTATTCCCCCATATCTCTCATTTAGCCCATTTTTCTCCTTCCTTAGTGAAGCAACAAAAATGTAATTACATTTGTCCTTCTTTCCCTCAAGTCAAAAGCTGTGACTTCTGTAGAGACAATAGGCTAGCATCATTTAAACTCATCTTGAGGTGACTGAAAAGGTTAAATGCAGAGTAATACTGCCTACAGGAAAACCTAGCATACTGAAGCATAAAAGACTTGGGAATTTTTAATGGGTCAGATCACGCTATGTATTCCTCCTTAAAACAAATTAGCTTTGGTTTTAGAATTAGCTTTCCACTGGCTTTCCTGGTGCATTTCAAATTTCAGATATTATTTTCTGACCCTTTCCTAACTTTCTGAAAGTTTTGTTTCTTTTGCTACTTTCCTTCCCTGGACTTGCCAAACACATATTTTCCAACATAAAACACTTTTCATTTTAATGAATAAGAAATACTAATGTCTGTTATCATACCCAGGTGCAAACTTTCATGAAACAAAATACATCTAGAGCTACCCAATAGGTTGCTAGAGTATCTGCCAATAAAAACTACCCTCAGCCTGCCTGATTGTGGGCAAGAGATAGAACGTCTGCTCTCATTTCTCACTTATTCTGCCCAGCCCTTCTGCACCACAGGGGTGAAATGTTCAAAATAATACACTGCCTTCCTGTTTTAACAGCCTCCCTTAGAAGAAGGGAGGAAACTAAAACCCTAGCCTTCAATTCAAGAGTGTGTCATCCATCTTGCTGTTACCAGGCTAAGAGGTTTGGGTCTGGGAATAATAAGGCTTGGGAGCCAGTCTTTGTGTGCAAGCTGCCACATAACCCTAGGCATATAATTAAGCTGTGTTGAGGAAAGCAAAATAGGTTATCCATAAGGAGTTTTCTGGCAATTCTCAAGTGCCAAGATTCTAGGAAATCAGCAGCAATTCCAAGCACCTCTTATCCACTCTAAGAAAAGGGAGGCCCCCTGTTTTCACACTTACGCTGTTGGCTGATTGATAAAGGCATTCTTCTGTAGCCTATAGGCTGAATAGCTGGGGAAAGAGCCTGATTCCAAAGAGACTCCTTGGACAGAAGCAAAATTCTTTTCTGTCAGGTTGTAAGCTTCAAGCATCTTAAAGCCTTGACATCAAAGAAGAAGATATAAAATGAGTACATTATGGTTGTGTTATTGTGAATATCTTGAAATCTTGAAATAAATTAGCCGAAGGATATACAAATGCTTACCTGGTGAGGTGTAGCCATCCAGATAGATGAGAGGACAACCTAGAACATGCAATGTTCTTTAAGTATGAGTCACCAACGTAATTCCAACAGATGCACAGAAAGTAGCAATTCGTGTGTACAAAGCAGAGTTTTTCATTTTAAAAGAGCTATTTATTGCTAGACATAATATACATGTAAGTATAGCCCTGCCTAGGATTAGTGCTTTAACCTATTCTCAAAATTATTTCCATCAGCTAGTACCACAAGAACTGTTGCTAGTAGCTGAAGGGAAGAAAAGTTGATTTAATCTACCTTTAGCATCTGTAGTTTAAAATCGAACTTGAAATTTTAGCATAAAAAAAAACTAAGCCTGAACTAAGAGCATGGTTCATTGTTATATCACTGGCCTCGCATATGCCCGATCCTATGTTCAATCTCTAGCACTACGGAATAAAAAACAAAAAGGCCAGCTTTCTCGTGATCTCTTGGAGCACAAGCCCGCAAAAGACCAGTTGATTACAAACAGGAAACCACCTTGCTGAAATTCTCTTCAATATACAATTCAAAGCTGAAGAGTAACATACCCAAAGTGCCATAGGCATTGGACTGGCAGGAAAGGGATCTATTAAAATGATTTGTTTCCATGTGGGGGTTATTATATCTTCAAAACTAAAAATGGACCTCTGGCAAGCACACATCTAGAGTGATCTCAAAAGAGCAATGATTCATCAGTTTCAAGTGATTTCCCAGAATCTATTTATGTCCTGGGCTTGATCCCACACAGTATGGATAACTGCCTATAAGCAATCGTTTCTCCAATGAGCTCGTGGCTCTGTGATGACCATGACTTACTTGAAGTGGCAGTTTCACAAACAAATGTGATAAGATTGTCCTCGATCTTCTCAAAAGATTCGAAGTCATCCACAATGAACACATGCCTTTCGCTGGGCTTGCTGGCAATGTTGGCAAGTTCGTTGTAGTCCACATCAGCCACACCAACCACGAATACGCTGAACCCTGCAAATCCCCATTAACAAGGGAATCACATATCCTCTTTCTGTCATTTATCATTTGAGCAATCAAAACTGAGAACATCAGAAATCATGCTGTATTTTCTCAGCATGGACAGCAAGTATGTTTTTTGGCACAAACTCCCTCTAAGAAAGGAAAATGTATTCTTAAGTAAATATACACATCTTCACTGTCATCCTGGCTCACAAAATTCAATTCATTGGGGCTTTACAAATAACACCCTAACAATTAAAATGTGAAACTTTTAATAGTAGAAGGGCTGTGCAGTACACGTTATCTTCCACAGATCCACAATTCAAACACACAAGTCCAGCAGCTCTGTTGGGTGCCATTAACAACTTAAATGCAGAATGGACTGTTTTACATTTGAATTCTTGAACATGAAGTTTTTTTTTTTTCATCAAACATGGGCTCAATGGTAACACTTTGATCACCTTTAAAATAAATACTACAGTGCTTACTGGAAACAAATATTGTACTATTTAAGCAAATATAAGTAAAGTTTTTGCTCCAAATACTTAATTTGACATCATAAGAAACAGGCTATATAAGGATAGAGATATTTACAGACACAAACATTCATAGTCCCAACTTTTCTTTATGGCTGAACAAAATTCCTTGTGTGTGTATATCACATCACATTTTTGTCATCAATTCATTTATTCTATTAAGGGAGGGAGTCAAGACTCAGAATGAGAAATGCTACATGATCTCTCAAAAGCAGGTCCTAGCTTCTAATGTGTATCTACATGTACTCATGTATCATGAGTGTGGACAGAGGCCAATAACTAGGAAAGAACCCATGAGAAGAGAAAAATAAACCTTAAGGGAGGGGATAGGGAGAGCAATAGAATAAATGTCATAGGAAAAAATAGATGGAGGAATAGCGGGGATGAAAGAGTACAAACAGGGATGGAAACGCAAGGAGATGGCAAAGAGAAGCAGGTTGGAGAGGAACAACCAAAATTAAGTGTGTAGGAAAATTCCATAAGAAAAACTTTTATTTTATATGATAATTTAAAACTAAAGCTAAAAGAAAATGGAATGACTTCACACAAAGTGTGACTTACAATCTTAGTCAAGTAATTGCATGAGCTGATAACAACTTCCATGTAACAGAGTTCTCTACTGTTGAGTACAGCACATCACACCTAGCATAGAATAATTCCTGCTCACCTGAGGCCCTACTTGGTGCAATGGCACAAAAGACAATGTTAATAGAAATCCTAGAAGGGCCTGCTTTCGTCTCTAATAATTCTGAACAACAAATTAACAGAATCATGTTACCAAAGGACTCTTAGGATGTTTGGTTGGCAAATCAACCCCAGCATTGCCTCCCATAGACCTCATACTTCTCATCTAGAGCATGCTTTTAGCAATCTGCATTTGGTCTGCAGCAGCAAGGACTGGCTATAGCAGAAGAAATCCTATGGCTTTCCTTGCACAGGAACCAGTGTCAAGATTCATCTCTGATATAGCAAGAAGCCTTGCTTAGGATTATTCCACTATCATAGTTTTCTGTAGTCTTCCACCCTCCATGGGAAGATTAAATTGACAACCCTGAATCACATCTTATCCAAAGAATACATGTCATTTTTAAAGAATTAGTGATTAATTCCCTAATTAAATACAAATCAACATTATAATTATGAAGTAAATAATAGAGTGAAATCGGCAGTTTGGGTCTTTTATAATTACTCTTGCATACTTAGAACTTAAAGCACTATATGCCATGGAAACCATGCTTGTGCTTACCTGACTGCTGGATGACAAACGCTGCCTTCTTCACCTCATCCTGTGACCGGCCATCTGTGACCACCACCAGCACCTTTGGGACATTCTTCCTCATGCCGCTCTCCCAGGTCAAGACCTTCTCCTTGATAAACGTGAGGGCCTTGCCTGCAGAGTGTGGTATGTGTGCTTTAGTGTCACCTGAGTGAGAACTATCCATTGACCACGCCCAGGGGACAGGGGTATGACTATTAGCATGAGATGGTAGCTGGCTTCCCTCATCCTGTTACCCTGGGAAGTGGAGGCCTGCACCAGTGTTGCCACATTGTACCTGTTCTTGTGTTTCCTCCTCTGTAGCGAATGTTCTGGAGGGCTCCAAGGGCTAGAGCCTTGTCGTTGTATGTGTTCAGCTTGAACTCAGACTTGACCTCATCACTGTACTGCACAAAAGAAACCTGAAAGGAAATACATTTAGAGACAAGTGTCGGTTATCCAGTTTGATCTCAATCTTCCGGTGGTTCCTCCTCCAGTGGAGACTTAGGGGTCTTGGACTTTTAACAAGATATTTTAAATTCTTAAACCCTAATACTATACCTGTGACTGCTGACACCTCTAATTTCCAGTCTCTAATGAAACTGTCATTTAGTCATTTACACTAATGTCATTCATATTGCCTTTCTCTAAAATGTAAGGAAAGATGAGTCACTCAGGGTAACAGTGATACCCCAATATCAGAAACAAGAGGATGCCTCGTGACTCCTGGACAGTTGGCCCTCAGCCACCTGCTTCTTCTTATGGACCTCACTCATTCTTCATAGTAAATAAAAATGTCATAGTATGATCATAATCACTACTCATGACAAGCTTAGCAGCGCTATGCTTTACCGGAAATTGTGATTTAGTGGTGTATAATCAAGATTCACCAGGCTAAATCCTGCTTCTGTCTAACAATAGCTATGCAATACCCTACTTTTCTGGACTTTGGTTTCCTTATCAACAAGGTCAGGATATATATTTACCTTGTAGGATTGTCTTAAGGATTGGTAACCATGTATTCAAGGAAAATTAATAAATGTAATAGCTGTTGTTTTTAGAAATCCAAGAAATAGCTAATAATAGTTTGAATGACTTTCTCAAAGAAATTTAGAAGATCACCTCAAAGCCTCACTGAGTGAGGCTGTCCATCTGTTCATGGATGTGCTGGGAACAGCGGAGGAGGGTCTTAGTTTTGTAGCAGGTTACAATAAAATGGCTAATTACTCTTTGAGGCTTCTTGTGGAAACATAAACTTCTCTAAGCTCCTACTCTAGTACAAAAGAAAATACATTGAAAGTGATTCCCCAGTGATATAATTGGTAATTACCATCTTAGAAAAACAAACTATGCTTTGGGCCACTAATGGACATTCTTCTGGCCGGGGTAATGTATGCGATGTAACAGTAGAGTAGACACACACCCTTTCCAATCACTATTCTCATGTCAAGGGCACGACATGACAATGCATTTAATGTGCAGAACTTTGGATGACCTTCCATGGAATGTGCTTTGTTATAAGTTACAAGTAGAATATTAGAGCTAGAATCTCCTAAATTCTCCAACAAGAATATCATCTAGACAAAGAAGAAAGCTAGACGAATATTTACTTTACTATTTGTTTATCCTGAGCACCAAATTCCTTCCCAAAGACATGTGGAACGGATGTAGCAAACCATAAAGGTAAAAAGACAGAATTTATGCTGAAATGACTTTCTACTCATTGGAGTTGAAGCAGAATAGTAGACATTACAAATAAGAAAATGGTAGGCACTACTAATAATAAAATAATCGGACACTACAAACAAGCAACACTCACCTGAATCCCTCCAGGGTTGACTTCATCAAAGGCCCCCACAGTATTAAAGATAAATTTTACAACTTTGTTAAAATTGTCATCTCCAATACTCCAAGAGGCGTCTGTCAAGAACACAATGTCTGCCTTGGCCCCTTTGCATACTGGAAAAAACAAAAGAATAATCCAAATCTCTTTAATTTTCTCGTCACTTGGCACTGCATAATTGAAAAGCATATAAAACATTACTACTCAAACTGTGGCTATATGAGAAGCAGCATGCCTTCAAGCCAGTAAGAAATGTGGCCTCCTGGGCCCAGCCAGTCTCCTGAATCAGAAACAGTAAGATTTCCAGATGGTACAAATATACAATAAAGTTAAAAATCCTTGATCTAAGTGACCCTCAGTTTTTGGCTCTGGGAATACATTGGTTGGATTTATTATGCAATGATATCTTCTTGCCATGTGAAATTCTTCAAGCTTCTTCAAACAATAATGAAGAGACTCAAATGAAAAGAAGTAATATCCAAAATTAAATGAAGGCTGTCAGTGGGTCTGAAGATTTTTCAATGTAATTACCAAATATTTAGCACAAATAAAATGTCTTTACTTTCAAATTAGAGCATCACACCCATAAATGGGGAAAGAAGCAAGAAAAGATAAAAATCTCTAATTTGACTCATTTTGGAATTGCAACCTTAAAACAAAAATTTCTGGGGCAATGTTTAGAAAAATTTAGTGCATTGAAATTTAACATATAAAAGTCTAACTTCAAGAGCAAACTGGAAGGTAAATTATGGGCTGTGGGTGGTTATAGTGTGTGAATGGAGCTTCAACCACTGTTACAAATGCACCGGTCTGGCCATGAGCGTGATGGATGGGGAGAAGAAAGGTAGGGGAATGGGGGTATATAGTAACTGAGCTTTCTTCTCAATTTGCTGTGGATCCAAGACTTCTCTAGGAAATAAAGCTATTTTTTAAAAAACATTTACATGTTTTAAGCCACAATTTTTTCAACATCTAATTTGAAAAGAGCCCTTATTTTACCCTTTAAATATTGCACCTTAATTTTTTTTTATTTGGTTTTTGGTTTTTCAAGACAGCGTATTTCTGTGTAGCCTGATCATCCTGGAACTCACTCTATAGACCAGATTGGCCTCTGCCTTCCGAGTGCTGAGATTAAAGGCACACACCACCACACCCAGCTTTAAGTGTTTAATTTTAGTTACATAGCAGTTTTAATAAGAGTCCAACCGCCTAGATTCTTACAATATGAAAGAAAAACACTTTGAAAGATTTAAATGTTTCTTAAAAAAATCAAAAAGTGGGAAAAGAATAAACCAGCAATTATTTTTCGTAAACAGAACCTGATGCAAAACTAAAAAAGAAAAAAGAAAGAAAATGAAAAGAGAATGCCCCCAAATTACTGAGACAGCAGCGTTAATAGCTCAATGTGTTTCTACCAGCCCACTGCAACTGACAATTGAGTCTCAGATTTTGATGAATGGAAATATTTTTAGCTTTGTGTAATCTGGGGCTCTTCTCAGTTCAGAAGCCAGGAATTCTAAAGTCAAAGGCCTAAGTGATTAGGTTTCAGATACAGCCAAAAAGGTTCAGAGTGCCTGCTGGTGCCTGCAGTAGGCAGAGCAAAGGGGCCCCAGTGTGAGTGTGGAGGATGGAAGGTCCTGTTAGATCATCTGCTGCAAAACTGAGGAAACAGAGTCCCAGGCCTACATTAATTTATGACTGACTTGATTCACCCCCAAAATGTGCCTAGAAAAAGAGGAACAAATTACTGGTAATCTTTTTTTTCCTCCATAAAAACTCTTCAGCAAAAAATAGTATCAGAATATTCAGAATCAGTTGTAGAATGTATGTAGAATGTGATGTCACCCTAGGATCTCTACAAGCTGAATATATATATATATATATTACTTACCATCACGGGCAGGTGGAATAGTGGGAGGAGGAGAAGGTGTTGGTGGTTCCGTAGGAGCCTCTGTTGGTTTTACAGCTATAATTCCAAAGCAACAGTTAGAAAAATGTAACATGTGCACATTCCCTATCCCACAAGGAAAGGAGTACTTTAACCCCTTAAGAATCGAATCTTACAAAGAGGCCCAGCCCACTAGCAATGAGTAAGTGGGGATAGATTTCTTTCTATCTAGTCTGCATCTTCAGTCAGTCTCAGATCAATTACACTGCAGACAGACAGGTTCAAAGAGAGAACACGAGGCCTTCAGAGAAGCCGCATGACTAAAAGCCAGTAATGTGTTCACCTTCTCATTATCATCAGAGCCATGTCTCCCTTCCTCAGCCCTTTCCTTAAAATACCGCCAGTAAAGACAGTTGCTACAGACAAAGGTCCTGAGCTAGCCCCATGCTCTGCTTCTGGGAACCATCATCCTAGTGTTGCTACCCCAGGGGTGATGGGCTTGCTCAGGGTATCAGTACATCTCTCACACCTGGAGCTTTCTACTCTCCAGGTTACTCAAAGCTTACTGGTCTGTTCCTTGATGGGGACACCCGGCCCCTCCAGATTTGGTGTCTGCACAAAAACAGTGACGCCATACTCAGCCTCTGGGGAGAGGCCCGTGAAACAGTGACTGGTTTCTGATCCTCGAACTGTAATTTCTTGTCCTCTGGTTCCTGATTGTGACAACAAAGGGAAATGCAAGTGTTATCATCATTATCTGTAAGACCATGTTAGATAATGGTTGATAATCTTAGCCCGCTCATGGCTGCGGGCTAAGATGTTTCCACTACAGGCTGTTTGCTTTCACACGTACCATCTGCAGGACTCAGTTTTAGCCTGTAGGAAGTAGCTGCCCGATGAGGTGACCATTTGACACAGAATGTATCCCAGCCAACTTGATAAGTTTTCAGGTCTGTCACATTTAAGTACACTACAGAAGAAAACATAGGTTCATTTTGTACTCTAAAGAAAAAAAAAAAAGCATACTTTTCACCATAATACAATGTTCAAGTATCCAAATAGAAGAAAATCGAAATAAATGCTTGAAATTTCATAGTGTCTTATTATCAGAGACTTACATCAAACATGTATGAAAATGTGGCAGAGAAAAAATTCATCCTGCTTCTCCATCAGTAATTTTCTGTTCTTTTTTCCTTGAGACAGGGTCTCACTATATAGCTCTGGCTATCCTAGAACTCACCATTTAGACCAGGCTGGTTCAAACGGTCAGAGATCTGCCTGCCTCTGCATCCCAAGTGCTGGGATTAAAGGCATGCTCTACACCTGGCTTCCATCAATGATTTTCAAGGAGAAGAAATTATATAGTCCCTAAAAATTATGAGTGTCATTTATGGAAAAATAATAAGAAAGTTTTCTGAAATACTAGCTGCTTAACTTAATTTAATATTTATCAAAAAACTTGAGAATAATCTGAAGGACAAATCACTGATTTGGTATTTTCATCAGATTATGTGAAGAGACACATTAACATCCAACATCAAAAAAATAGCAACACAACTGTATACAAACCATTGTGTGTTAAATGATATTGTATAACCTTAATATTTTAAAAATCAAAATATTCTGTATAAAATTAATATCACTTCCTGCTCTCATATACATACACATATATTATACTAATTTGTTTAGAAATTCATATGGATATTTTGTCTAGCTGGACACAACATGGTCTACCAGTGTGATACTGCAGAAAACATGTACAGGATGGAAAGATAAAATTGCAACAAGATGGCATGGAAAGTTTTACTACTCCATTTCTTATAATCACAAAGTGATGAATAACTCACGTGTGGTGCCTTGATCTGTAAGGGGAACACTGAGCCCAGAGTCATATTGAGCATAAACACTGACGTCATAGGTAGTGCTGGGATTGAGATTGTGTAATGTGTATGATGTCACTTCTCCAACAAAGGCTTCCATGGGCTCATTGGAACCTTTAACAACAACAGAAGAACACAGCATTATATAATCCCTAGCTTCAGTCTTTGCTCATAATTGAAGATATTAACTTGAAAATCAAAGAGTAGGATGAACACGTGAATTCCAATAGGCCTTTGGGTACATGCTACATTGTGCATGACTAGGAACCTGCAAGCACAGCCTGAAGTCTGGAGACTTATCCTTAGAGCATAGCACAGTGCAAAGAATAAAGTAAGCATGTATTGGTGTCCCTTTGGTAAACCCATTCTCTCCTTTCTTTTTAAAGCTTTGCTTTGCCAGAATAGTGCTGTCCACAGACTACAGAGTGAATTAGCATTTGTATCAGTTGTAGTGATGACCTAGAACATCTATGTTGGACCACATTCCACATTTATTTTTTGCGGGAAGTCCTCACTTCAGGTTCCCTGTATGTCTCTGGCACAGGTTCATATTTACTCTCTCCTGCTTTCTCATCTTTGTCTGCATTGTCCACAGTCTTCCAGGGCACATGGAAGATGCCCTAGGAAATTTGACACAGACAGACAGAATATACAAAGATACCAAATCATTTATTCAAGGTGATGTTGATGTAGCTAAAAATGTCACTGCAGAGTTTAAAGTAAGTCTGAACCAACTAAATAAAACACATAAAGCCTATAACTCAAATGGAATAAATTTTTAGTGTAATGGGGAAATTATAGATGTATATGTGGGTTTGATATTCATTATCTCATGATCATAACAACATAGATGATGCCTGAATATTAGCATCTTCAATCTGTTCAACTTTGTGCACCAGATAAAATTTTCCTTTTTATACAACATTTCTTTGATAATTTCACCCAATGTATTTTCATCATACCATTTCTACTCTTCCCTCCAACTCCTCCAAGTTGGTACCTCTACTACCCTATCCTCTCCAAACCTTGTGCATTCTTTTGGTTTAGTAGCCCACAGAGTCCAATTTGTGGTGACTATTGTCTAAAGTGTGGGGCCATCCATTGGAGAATGACCACAGATCATTTTCAATTGTTAAAAATTGCTTCATACATACCCAGAGTAATAATGATATTTTAGGCTGATGACTTAAAGGCTGTTTATGGAAATAGTACCTCTAGTATAAAAGATTTTCATGTGTTTACAGGAGAATCCAATAGTAGGGAGTGCAATCAGATAACATGAAAATAACTTTCCAACATATTCCTATGATGATAAATGTGCTTCCTTACCCACTGGCTTGTACACAATTTTATATCCAAGAACTGGTGAGGGTGATGGGTCCCAGGAGACTCTGAACCTTGTATACCATTCATCAGAGATATGTATGTTCTGAGGAGGAAGCAATCCCACTGCAAACAAACATTGGCAAATATCACTGCCTTGTTAGGATGTTTCTGTGAGAACAGAACAGTTTAATTTCTAATAGCCTCCAATTTCTTATCCAGAAAAATAATTAAAACTCCAAGGTGAATTTCCAAAGAAAACTTAATAGTTTTGTGAATTCAAACAGCAATTCAAATGGACTATAATATGGATGATTTTCAAAAGATCTCAGTAGCAAGGTCAAGAGCAATAAGGCTCAAAATTGAAGACAATTAGAGAGATCTCAGAATCTTCTTTACAATGTGTGTACTGCACCATAATAGAACAAGAAGATATATTAGAGACTATCTTGTAGCTACCTCCTTACACAAATAAGATATGATTTTCACAAAAGAAGAACAAGAGGGTGACTAAAGTCACATTCTTTCCCTACCCATCCCTGTCCTCTACACAGCCTAGAGTCTCAGTCAGCCAGAGGTTTTTCCCTAAAGCTACAATCTTTTCCAAAATGTGTAACTTGGAAAATCAGTGCTGTTTAGGTGGTACTCTATGCAGCCATTGAGTTAATACCCAAAGCACTAAAGTAATTACTAATCCAACATTAAAACTTTGTTTCCATGGGGAAAAGTAGACATGGCTTTGGCCCTTCCTGGAGAAGTAAAAGTTTACTTAACATTTTGGTAAGCATGAAATTCTGAAATACTCCATTTTCCCCAGAAAGTTATCAAAATATATCTTAAATATGAGAAAGTGGGAAAGTGGGTTGCTAAGTTAGAAACATCTAGTCACTAGAGCATCAATAAAGGGCACATATTTCCGAGCTGTAGACATGAAGTTGAAACAACTCCAGTGCATTTTTCTCTTAGAAGTGTCCCAGTGTTACTTTTCACAAGTTCTCTGATGTTGTCAAGAACATTTAAACCAAAAAAGACTTTGAACAAGTGAGTGGCTAGAGAAATATAAACCATGTAACTAAGTAGATTTTCTGAATGAAGTAAGAAAACGCAATGTCAGTATTTACAGAACTGGAGCCCAGCCTGCCTTGTGGGAACCAGTGGCTCTCAGCCTTGGCTGTTGCAGATCAGAAGAGCCACGGGCCATACCTCAGGCCAAGTGCACTGGCTCCTCTGGAAGAGGCTCCTGAGTAAGCACTTTTTAAAAATGTTTCCGGGTTAAAAAAAATTACAGAATCTTTAAGCTACATGAAATTGCCACCAATATAGAATGGGCCATAACATTTATTATTCTCTGTAGATTATCTGAAGCAACAATTTTAAGCTACATTTTTAGGCAGATGATTCTAATCATTTTGCTTCTTTATTTGTGCATTGAGACTCAATCATAACAGATGATGACTAGCTGATACCACATTGAGTTACAACTACAGCCCCACCAGACACCATGCATTACTCAGAGTACACCATAAAGAAAAAGGAAATGAGCCCAAGCACAAGAAAATATGCAGATCCTTGTCACCCTTTGTCTCCTCTTCTTGTACCTTTACAATTTAAGAAATAAATTATGCACTTGTGTCATCATTTTAACAAAACTCAATGTCTAGCATAGGCTTGATAAGTTATTAATATAGTGTATGAGATATGCTGTTGAAAACAGAAATTCATAGTTTTAAATGGTATAGTAACATTAAAGGCATGAGCATTTCAAAGAGGGACAAAATCATAAGAACACTGACCAGTCCTTCCGTTTCCAGTTAGATGGCCACCATCTCCATCATCATAGATGGCAATGACAGTAATTTTATATGGAGTGTCAGGTTGCAGGGGCTGCAATATTACATTGTTTCTCCTGCCTGGAACTGTGGTCTGCAAGAAAGTTCCATTATACATGTATTTCTAAGGAGAAGACAGACACCTAGATCAAACATCCCATGCTCTTTTTATACAGTCCCATATGCAAAAATGGATTCTTTATGTTTTCCTTCTGTCTCAAAATGCTCAGAGAAATTCAAACTATCTAGTCTGCCGCTACACAGCTTGGGAGAATAGTTTAAGTCCTGACAGACCTGGGCACAAATCCCAGATCACCCACTAAGCAGTCATGTGACTGAGCATCTCTGGAGGAAGGAAGGACCACTAAAGACAATAACACACATAACACCCCAGAGTGCATCACTGAGCCTGCCATGTCTGACTTTGTCTACTTCATCTTTCAACATAGCACATCACATTTCCAGGGAGAGGGCAGGTGTCCATTAATGCTATGGACCAGGTGTCCATTAATAGGCAAAAATGGACAGTTTTCCATTCTCAAGAATATTAGTTTAATTGATATTAATTAAGTGTACATTTGAAAAAGAGGAAATGGAGAATGTATTAGACTCCCTTCTCAAAGACGAACAAAGCAGTCATCTCTCAACCTCGATTCTAGTCTTGTACAAATACCATGCCTAAGCCTCCTGGCCTGGAATCCCATAACTAAAAACAGTAAAGTGCTAAAAGAAATTAAATTTTCAATGTTTTCAGAAAGCATAGGAACTTTTTTTCCCAGAAAGGAAGAAAACAAAGAAAAACCACTAAACATGAGTCATAAAATCATATATCTCACTTTGATTCTTAAACTCTAATTGACAATTACCCATTTCTTATTAATAAGATGCGGCTTTAATTAAAGATTCTATGTCTTGAACTATCTGAGGGACTCCTGGCAGTAGAACCATGAATCAAACCTGGTACATGAGCTGGCTGGTTGGAGCCCATTCACTATGGTGGGATGACATGCTCAGCCTTAATGCATGGGAGAGGGGCTTGGCCCTACCCCCAACCTATTGTGCCAGGCTTTATTGATTCCTCAATGGAGCCCTTACCCGTGAGGAGGAGTGGACTGGGGGGATGGGCTGGGAGGTGGTAGGAGGGAGAACTGTGGTTGAAATGTAAAATGAAACTTAAAAGAATAAAAAAAAAGATTCTGTGTCTAAATCAAGAGATTAAATATTTCTTCACATGAAATAAGTGTATGGAAGAAGAAAGATTCTAAGTAAATACACATGGCAAAAGGGCTTCAAACCACAAATCTACCTACTTTACAGTTCCCATTTGAGGTAATCTAGGAGCTTATCACAAACCAATCAGTAAATGTCAGTGTGTGTGGTTTTCCAGCTATAATGAGATGTGGAGAAACTTGAGGGGCAAATACCGTGGCTCCAGGGTGGAGTGCCTGACACACACAGCCCTGGTTGATCCCCAGTATACCACACAAAGGAAAAGGGGAAAACTTGAGTCTATGTCAAGGGAGACACATTATGACACTGAAAAGTTTGGAATGACTAGTGCAATGTCACTGGTAGAGAGATTGTTTCTCGTGCCCAAAGTCCTGAGTTCAATCATTAGTAAAAGAATCAAAGTCAGAAGGGGTGGGAGAGGAAGGGAGCGAGAAATGGAGACAGATAGCTTCGAACTAACAGGAGATTGTGTACACTTCAAAGTAAAAGAGTACAGGGAAAAAAATGTGGGTTTAGAGAAAATAGAGACTGGAGCTGAGATACTGAGGGGAGACCATGCAGAGGAATTGGACTTGAAGGATAAGGTTGGAACAATCCCACCATCTCAACATTATTTTGGATGTTAGATTAATATTCAGCATGTTACAGTAGACCTTTTAATGTTAGGAATATTTTAATCTTAGGCAGTTAGAAATACAAAATAAGATGGTTTTTCAATTAGTCTTTATAATAGATCCCCAAATCATTGCCTCACCACAGGAGGCTGAACCAGGAACTTTTATGTTGTTGTACTTACATATTCGTCAATCGGATCACCAACGGTAGGGGAATAGATGATCCTATATTGCTGAACTGGCCCATCAGCATGATCCCAGGCTACGGACAGGCTGTTGGTTGTCTCCCCAAAGACCCGAAGATTCCTTGGACCACTTCGTGGAACTAAATAAAATACAGTTGGGTTTGCTGCTTGCCTGACAGCATTTCCCGGGTCATCTTACATGAAGTGCTTACAGGAGTTTCACCATTCACCTTTCTGTGAATTTCACCATTCACAGAAGATATGGTACACATTCTTCTGTGGTTTTAATGTGACATCACACAGCATAACATGCTACACTTCAGAGCTACAGTTACACGCTGAACTTTCAACAAGACAGAGCTAGGTCTGCACCTAAATATGCAGACTGGAAGAAGGGGATCACTGTAACCACCTCCATTTGATGACATCAAAAGGCTAAGCCTTCACATTTCCAAAGTGCCAGCTTGGCAAGAAAAACCACTTCGTTAAAAAGGAAAGGAGGGGACAAAAGAGGAAAGCCCTCTTTCATTTAGCTCCCAGATTTTTATTTTTTTAGTGATAAAATTAAATTCATCCAGCACAAGAAACCGTTCTGGACACATAGCCTGAGCCTGGAATGTGAGTGTGGGAAATCCCAGGCAGAAGTACATGCAGAGGCTACCCTGCCCTACACAGAGTCCTCGACATCCCTCACTCATCACCCACCAACCACTCCTCACTCAATGACAAGAGATAAAGTGGAAAAGGGATTTTTGCCTCACGTGTTCGGCCCTGGCTGGGGCTGGGATTCCCCTCTCCATCCGAGTAGAGAGCCACAATGTTTACAGAATAGGGTGTGTCCGGAATCAGCCTCTCCAGATGCACCGTGCGGGTATTCCCTGGCACCACAATCTGGAGGAGAGAAAACACGCCAAATTCTGTCTGACTGCCACCCAAATGCTTGCCAGCTCTTCAGTTAGTCAGCATAATAGTATTTATCGTAAAAGACTGAGCCCAGGCATGTTAGAAGCCAAATGTGCTCCTCTGCAAGATCTGCCTCCAGCACATTGGTAGATACAAGTTATTCTCAGAAACGCTCTTATTTGCTTCTTATCTCCCATTTAGGTTTCTCAGAAAGAATGGTAAATAAAACATCTAGAATGTACATTTGCTCTGAGTGGATCCTGAATGTCATGTACACATGAGTGAAGGGATCCCATGCCAGTGCCAAAGAAATTTACTGTTAAGACAGGAATTCTGGATAAGGGTAAAGTGGTGTATGTCATACCAAATATGGGGACATTAAAACCAAAGCTACCGAAGAGCACACTCATTGCTTATCACATTCTTATCTTTGCTTATCATGGCTTGCTTTTGCAAAGACTTGCTAGTCCATAAATTTATTTCTCCCTCAGTGTTGTGATGCTATTATCATTCAGGTAAGTAATTTGTGATTTGTATATTATTGGTCTACCCACAAAACAGAATGGGAATTGCTTCAGTAAGATGACTGCAAGTCTATGACTATACCATCCCAAACATGCCTGATTTCATCTGGTCTCGGGAAATTAAACAGCCTGGCCAGAACTTGGATGAAATGCTGAAGAGACACTGTAATTTGTAAGAGCCAGTAAAGGTGTACTTAACATTTAGTCATAGCAAAGGCATGTGAACTTTCCCAATGTATCTACTATTGAATGGTTCTAGAAATGGTATACATTTCTTATTATTATTATTACCAACTCATAGCTAATTCACATTTCCCCCAAGTTCTTTTCTAAGAAAACTCATAATTAATATCTGTCTTAACTCGTCAAACACAATAATTTAAATATTATATATTAGCACATTGGTAGGTTATATTCTTAAAGGCTCCTAAATGTGACTCAAACATGCAACTATAATAATCAGGAAGTGTAGTCTCCATAAGAGGCAGTGACCAATAATTGGCTTATTGTTCTGAGCCGTATTCTGTGGTAGAAGCTGTAGCAGAGTCTACAAGAGTCTTTGCTAAACTCTAAGATGATGAATTACTTACAGATTCTGAGGGTCTTGTGCCAGCAACAGGGGAGTATACAATGCGGTACTGCTGTACTGGCCCAGGAGCAGGGTCCCAGCGGACATCAAGGCTGTTGGGTGTAGGGTTGTACACTTGGATGTTTCTTGCCAGTCCTCTCACCACTAAGGAAAGGAAAGTCAATGCCTATTTCTCACGTCTGTTTATACATGTCAAGCTTTTCATCATGTTCCCGAAAGTTACACTCTCTAATAGGATAAAATCCTATCCACTTTGTACTGCTATCTACACACGAAAGTACATTAAAACTCTCCAGACACCAAGTCAGTCAAAGTTAGCCTTTGCCAGTATAGAAACAATATTGTTTTCAATAAAAATAAGTGAGTATGAGCAACAGGATTGGGATGGCCATAAAAGGACATGAGACTAGGGAAAGGAAACAAAAAAAAGTAGCTGAGTTTCCAGTAAAGTAATAGGGCCAGAGGAGAGATTTTATATACCCTGCCTTCTAACCAACAGAAAGATATGGAGTCATCAGATTCACTCAGCTGCTTTCAATCACTCAGTCTCTCATTCATTCCTGCCTTATTCAACACTAGCTATGGAATATCTTCAGTGATTTAAAAAAAAGAAAAAGAAGACAAATGAAGAGACAAGTCAGTTCTCAATTAACTTCCACCAATAAAATTTAGGAAATTAAATCTGTATAACAACCCCAAACCCTAGCCTAACAAGCAGCAGCATCTCTCTAAACCCATGATCTTTCCCCAAAGGAAGCTGCCCATGCTTGTTGCCCTTCAACCAGCCTCATACGTTTTACAAGTTGGAAAGATCCTTGTAAGTGTGCACAAAAGACTATGCAATATCCAGAGAGAACAACAAAAGCATTTAAACTGATTTGTCTACATTAATGGTGAATGAAAGCACATAGATTTTTAACACCAAAAGCGCTTCAGCAGCAGACCAGAGAAATGCACAACCAAGTAATAAAGTCAACAGGTTTCAACAAACTACACTATGAAATCCAATGACATTCAAATTTACAAGATGAAAAGCAGAGCCCCATATTTTTTGTCAGTGAAAGAGAATAATTGAGATCACACAAGGGTGAATATAACACACATTTATAGATCATGAAATTATAATTTCATAGTAATGCCATTTAAATGTTACTTTATCCAACAGGTTAATGGTTGGTTTTGAAATGTGAACTGTAGGTCATTTGATATTTTTAATCTACTCATTCTGACTTTTTTCTTATTTTCTTCCATGGTCAATGAGATCTTTATAGTGAAAAGCAATGTCTATAATGAAAAGTTAGTTCTCCTGCTTTTTACTTACATGTCCTTCCAGTGTCTGATGTGCGTCCGCCATCACCTTCTGTATAGACAGGAACCACTGTGACAGTGTATGGAGTATCTGGCTGCAGGTTCCTGAGAATGGCATAGTTGGTATTCCCAGGGATTGGTACCTAAAGATTTTAATAAAACACAGAGCATTAAATTTGAAAATGGTAAAGGAGCTAATCCTATAGATACCAACTGAAAGTACCACCTCCAGGTGATTGCTAGAAGTTATGAAGATTTCTCTTTATGTCTCCCTGTATCTCCTACTTCTACCAGCACCTAACCCATGGTCTTCCTGCTCTCCAGGCTCCAAATCACCAAGTATATGTCCTCTCTCATGTCCTTTATGTTAATATAAGTTCTTCCCTTTTAAATAACCTAACTCTTTCCTCTTCCTTTTAAAACCAATCACCTAAAGTTTAAACAGACTAGCATTTTCCACTTAGGAGTGAGTTTGGGGTCAGCCTGGTCTACATAGCAAGTTCCAGGACAACCAGGGCTACATAAAGAGACCCTGTCTCAAAAAATAATAATTACCAGTTCTTCAGGGCCACCTGCTGTTGGGGCATAGAAGAGTTTGTACTGTCGAGGATTGCCCTCTGCATGGTCCCAGCGAACACTCAAGGTGCTGGTAGAAGGGTCATAGACTCTCAAGTTCCTCACGGTGTTCAGAGGTTCTGAAATATACAGGAAGTACACTGTAGTGGAATTCAAACTAGCAAATATATCTGAAACAGAAGTTAAGCAATATCTTTAGCCCACCTAGAACATAGCAGACACCCACAGATATTTGTTAAAACAATAGTTAAAGAAATCAAAGATTTGCACTTCTGTGGTATCTATGTCTCATCTATCTGACAGAAATTTTAGTTCTCTGAACTTATTTTTTTAATCCTGGTAGAGAATAACATCTTTTGTTTACACAAATACAGACATAATTATAAGCAAGGGAATTAAAAACAACTACCACCATCTTAAAAGATTCATCTATGGCTCAGGAAACATCATGGACAAGAGGTCAGAAAAGTTGACTGTAAGAGCCAGAGTACCAGGAAGTCTGCAATGAAACAGTCTCTCCTACAAATGGCTGCATAAACAAGATTAGAACAATACCAATATCAATGGGCATGTTGATGTAGAATGGGGAAATTTTCATGGGGCACTACCCTAAACAAAGAATGACAGACAATAATTGACTTCCCAGAGAAGGGGAATTAACCTCTCTCAGGGATGAGCTTATTATTGATTGTTCAATGCAGGGTGGCCAGCCTTAAAACCATATACAAACAAACAACAAAAATGGGCTCATATGGTTGTATTTACATATACTGTATACACATACACACACACACACACACACACACACACCAAACATAACCAAAGAAAAAGAGGCTATTGCCAGGCATGGTGGTACATGCCTTTAACCCCAGCACTTAGGAGGCAGAGGTAGATGGATCTCTGTGAGTTCAAAGCTACCCTGGACTACATGGTGAGTTCCAGAACAGCCGGAGTTATGTATATAGAATCTGTATCAAAGAGTGAGGGGAGAGACTGAAAGAGGCAGGGAAAGAGGGCAGGCTTGACAGTAGGGAGGGGTCATGAGTGGGGTTTGGGGTAAGGTAGCTGGGAGAGGATAGAAGGAAGAAAGGGAGCAAGAAGTGATGTGATTCTATTTCAATTAAAAATAGTTTTAAACTTTTTAACTTAAATTTCTAAAAAATCACTAAGACATTCCATTTCCCTTGTGTTTTTAGATGTGATTTTATTCCATGGTGACTATTAAGAAGCTGCAGGGACCCTGGTCTCACTTACTTGTTTTGCCCCTTCCAGTCATCCGGCCACCTTCACCATCAGGATAGAGGGAGGACACCGTGATGGTGTATGGAGTGTCAGGCTTCAGTTTCTGCAGGACCACGCTGTTCTGCCGTCCTCCTACTGTGGTCTTGAGGAAAACACTTCTTGGTAAGCATCAGCCTTACACTTTCCAACTCACTAGTTAATTAAATACAGCTCTTTCTCTAGGGGAACTATTTGAGACTCTTGCCAAGTTGTGGAACCATGTCCCACAATGAAGGCTTAAAATATATAGCATGGCATAATTTTAAGTGTAGAGTATGTGTCTCGAGTCATGAAAAGAATTCCAAGCTTTAAACTGGAGACCTCAGAAAGATATTTGAACTCACTAGCAGCCAGCACTGCAAAATTTCATCCAAAACACATTTTACAGAACTCTTCCCAAAAACAAGGCATTAATCATAAATGAGTTACAAAGGGTCTTTAAGATACCAAAGAACTGCATAATTTTAGAGGCTCCACACCATTCAGTATTATTCTTGCTATTTTACAGATGTTTTTTATTTGCTTTAGAAACATATTAAAATGATTCGGCAAAGGATCTAAAGCTCTTGGTGTTTCCCCCAAACACTGCCATTCTAACAGCATTAGCTGTGTAAACGACGTGACCGGACCCTTGGCCAAGCCACACTCAGGCGGGGGTTCCCAGTGATCTCCATGATACAAGCCGTAAGGTATGAAGCCTTACTCCAATTTCCTCCAATTACGGAGTCTGAGGTTTTTAATTCATTGCTCAAGGCCATCTCGATATCTTGTTGAAAGAAAATTTGTACGATTTGTTAACAGTCTACTGAATTCAGATGTTTATGCCATAGTAATTAAAATCACATGAAAATGGCACTAAAATGGCACTCTGCCCACAATGAGTGCTCATGAAAAATGAGTGGATGTATTAGCACTAACAGATGTTTCCAACTTAGCACCCATTCATTCAAACAGTCAGAGTTCGGGTGGGGGAGGGGCAGGGGGGGTTCCGTGGCTCACTGTAGCCGTCTTCAATATGAAGAAACTGAGTTACAGTGGCCCATCTGAAGCCATCTATTATCAGATGCTGTGGGAGAAAAAGATCAGTACAGGCAAAAGCCATTTTTATAAAATTATGATATATAGCAGGTTCAAAGGATTTGCTTAGAACTAATCTTATAAGGAAGAAAATGGGTGCCTACTTACAGCTCCCATCCAACTTCCAAACTAAGCCCAGAATTGGTGATTTGTTGCTTTTATTATTTCATAGACCAGCATTCAAATGGGACTGGAGCATATGTGGTCCAGCCAAGTTCATTTGCCAGGTAAGAGCAGTGCCCTTTACTACAGACATTTATCCACTGCCAACCTCAACTCTACTAACTTCCTACACGGGTGGGAGATATGATCCATTTGCTTGAGCTCAACATATTTAGTGGTTAAAAATTCAAACCTTGTCTCTCTCTGAGGTTATATAAGGAAATAATATAACCCATGCCTCCCAAAAGCCAGCAAAGTTCTAGAGCTCAAAAAAGACATTTGAAAATAAATCAGAAAATATAACCCTATATGTATAAAAATTGGGATGTTCCCTGACTTAGCATAAATTACACCACATAAAAGGCAAAGCCGGTGAAATCCCAGACAGGCAGCTAAATTAAACAAGAGGAAAAGACAAAGGTTCTGTTAAATAAGGGAGATCAGGGATGGTAAAGATGACAGCTGAGCTCCCATCTTTCGAAAGGATCTCCATTTTTCAATATTTTCAGGTAGGTCTGTGGCCTTCTAGGTCTGAAAATAATAGATCTAATATAATCAGAAATATTGAATATCTACATAGCCTCAAAACCTTTCTAGATGTCATCATGCTACTTGAGCACATGACTAATGTGTACTTACTATAAAGAACAACTAGCAGGTCCCACCAGAGCATCCTGCCATCATGCACTCCAGAGGGAGGGCCAACTAGGTTCAAATGATTCTATCTAGTATAGCAAATCTTACATTCCCTAACAAGGTCAATATTATAAACACTCAGGGGAAATAGCTGAAGAGAAACAGGCAGAGTACTTCCAAGCTAATTTTTTACAAAATGAATTACCGTTTGTTCATTGCCTTCTCCTGTGGAAGGCTGGTGTGTGATCCTGTATTTCTGCACACGACCGCTAGCAGGATCCCACTTAACAGTCAAGCTGTTAGATGTGGCATTATACACCTGAAGGTTCCGTGGACCACTTTTTGGAGCTTAAAGAAGATTGTTGAAAACATATTAAATTATAGAACAATCCCTCCTTTTGCCCAAAAACAAAAACAAACAAACAACCTGTATAGTCGCCAAGGAAATCAAGAGAGTTCTGTACCACTGGGTTTAGAACTACATTTAAGCCAATGTTATGGTCACTGAATATTAAATGGCTACTTGGTATGGACTGACGGTGTTAGTTCCCTCTCCCCCAGGCTTTGATCTCTTCTGTATAATGAAGTCCTATACAGTAGAATTTGCAAATGGGGCTTTTGCAGACAATGTCATGGAGTGGGTCACTCAAGTAAGACTAGTCTTTATAAAAGGAGGCATGAGAGAGAGATCATTTTCTCCTTGCCATGTAACAACAAAATGAGTAGATGAATGTAGACACTTCCCCAAGAATTGGCTGCCATCTTGTCTTGCTCTTGGGCTTCCTGTTCTCCAGACTATTTTGAGCTGTGCTAGAGATTGCAGCTAGGCTTTCACTGATGCTAGGCAATGCTCTAGTACTGACATTTTGTTATTTTATTTGTTTTCTTTTGTTTAGGGCAGAGCACACGACTGCCACATCTTACATGTAGTGATCAGAAGACAATTTGGAGAGTCAATTTTCTCCTTCCACTCTGTTAATACTGGAGCTTCAACTAAGGATGTCAGGCTTGATGGCAAGCACCTTAACCTACATCTTGCCCACCCTTAATTTTTTTTTTAATTGTGAGTCAGGGTCTCACAAGTTAGCCAGATTGGCATTGATCCTCCTTTGCTTCCCAAGCAACTGGGATTACAGGCCTACAGCACAAAACCTGACTTCTCTTTTCTAGAATTATAGGTATATAAATGTTATCTGCTTATGCCACCTACTCTAGCATTTTGTTACAGAAGCCCAAGCTGACTTACACACTCTTCAACAAGTAACAGAAAGAGTACATGTATCAAGGAAAGTTAGTTTTGAAAAAAGCAACATCCTACAGTTAAAATGCAGGTTTGTTCACAGTGCATTTTATGGTCCTATTGGTTAATTTACACCTTGTTCATTCAGACAGTCCAGTAGGTTAATGCCTTACCTTGTGTTGTTAAGGGTATCAAACGCACTAAAAGAAATAGAATTTGTAGAAACGTTAGTGATACAGCTGTAGCTTTGTTTCTTAAGCAAACTATCAAGATCCTATTTGAAAGTTGAACACCTACATGTGCGCTCGCTGCCACTCAGGTCATCACTTTCAGACTCATCAGGATAGATGGCAGTAATGGAAACTTCATACAGAGTGTTGGGGTTCAGATTTTCAAACACCAAGGTATTTTCATCTCCATTTAAGATGGTCTTGGACAAAGAGGAAAAATCGTATGCACAGTAAATTAATAATCCGTTTATATCATGCACATCCAATGACACAGTGCTGACATCTTTAGATAATGTCCCTCTGCACTGTTCTAGGACATGATCCCAAAGCCATTAGTCAAAAATTATGTGTACCTTAACAAAATACAGTGCTTTGGGTGAAAAATGTCCCCCAAAGGCTCAGGTACTTGAATACTCAGTCCTCAGTGATCCCTTTGCTTCCTATTCTGGATGCAATAACTGCCTGCTGCCATTCCTCCTCACTGTAAAGGATTCTTATTTCTTTGGATTGTTAAGCCCAAATCAACTCTTCCTTTCATAAGTTACCATGGCCATTGTATTTTATCACAACAACAAAAGTAACTGATACACAGAAGTAATATATATTTCAGCCATGCTTTCCCCAGAAGCAATGGAAAAAGGGAGAGACAGAAAGCTAACATTACCTCCATCTTGTCTGGATTGTCAATAGGTGCCCAGGTTATTCTATAGAGAGACACATCTGAAGCTCCATGGTCCCAAGTTCCTCTGAAACTCTCTGGTGTTACTTCAGTAAACTGTAGGTTTGTTGGTGCTGGAACACGCCCTATCATAAAAAACGCAAGAGTCCATGTTACAATTGGAACTATAAACTCAATTTATTATAATTAAAATGTTTTATTTTAAAATATATGGTAAAAACTGACAAAAATACATAGCATTAGAATGAAATTATTTTACTAGCTTAACTCATTTGAAAATTAACATAGGATGAGCAGTGTATGCTTATAATACATAGGTTACTAGAATGTGTAAAATACATAGGTCTACTAAACTAATGAACTTTTAAAGTACTATTTAGTTATACTCTTTTATTTCAGTGGTTCCCAAAGTTTTTGCATCTCCAGTGCTTGCTTTTAGGATCTATTGTAGCAACAATATAAGCACAAACTGTGACATGCAATTGGACAGCAGTCCATCAGTAACCCCAGAGATCCAAGGTTTCAAATTAAGAAGTATCTCATCTTAGAAACAGTACAACAGATACCATTGAAATTCAATAAATCACTGAGACATATATTAAAACCAATATTCCAGTAAATTGAAAAATCTAGAAGACATGATGGATTTCTAGATGGATATGACCTACCAAAAGTAAACCAGAGTAGATACACAGATAAAACAAATCCACACAAAACATTAAAGTCACCATTAAAAAAATAGTAAAAGGTCCAATTATGTTGGGAGGACTATTTACGTATGACAGAGCAGGCCCTATAGGAGTTAGAGGAAGGAGATGGAGACTAGATATAAAATAAATTGTATTCGTCTATGAAATTCTCAAAGAATAAAGAAAATACATTTTTAAAAAATCCAGGCTAGGCATGGTGACACATGCCTTTAATTCCAACACTGGGGAGAGAAGCAAGCAGATATTTCTGAGTTCCAGGACAGCCTGGCCTACATCGGAAGTTCCAGACAAGCCAGAGCTATATAGGAAAACCCTGTCTCAAAAACAAATTCCAGACCCTGATGTATTCACTGCTGAATTTTATCAGACCAAATAACAAATAAACAGAACAAAACAAAAACTCTAACACCAATGATTTTCAAAATATTTCATTAAAATAAAAGGAAAAGGAATAAATGCAACCAAACTCTTTTTAAAAAGCCAGTATTACTTGATCCCAAATTTGAATAAATATACAAGAAATAAAAAGTTATAGGCCAGTCTTCATGATGAACATAGATGCAAAACTTGTCAATAAAACACTTCCAAAACAAATTCAAGGACACATCAAAAAGACCATTGACCATGATTAAGTTAGCTTCATCCCAGCTAGCCAGGAATGTAAAAGACCTCTATAATGAAAATACTGAAAGGCTGAAGAAAGAAATTAAAGAAGACACTAGAATGTGGAAAGATTTCTCATATTCATGCATTCAAGGAATTAACATTGAGAAATGGCTACCTTACCAAAAGTAATCTACACACTGAATAGACTCTCAGTCCAACTTCCAGTGTCATTCCTCATAGAAATGGGGAAAAAATTAAATACCTAGATAGCAAATGCAATCCTGAGCAAAAAGAATACTGGACGTACCCAAATATAGGATTTCAAGTTATATTACAAGCCATAATAACAAGAACGGCATGGCACTGATACACAAAAAAAAAGACACATAGTTCAATGGAATAGAGAACCCATATATAAACATATGTAGCTACACCCATTTGATTTTTGTGAAAAATATACACTCAAGCAAAGATGATGTACTCAACAAATGGTGCTAAATAAATTACATATCCACATATCGAAGAATGAAACTGAATCCCTATTTCTCACCCTGGAAAAAAATCCTAAATGACTCAAAGACCTTAATGTAACATCTGAAAGTGTTAGATTAAAGAGTAGAGGAAACATTTCAAGATGTTAGGCATAGGAAAGGACTTTCAGAACAGGATACTGGTCACTCAGAAAGTAATACCAACAACTGACAAAAGGTACCTCATGAAATTAAAAAAAAAAAAAAAAAAACTTCCGCACAGCAGAAATACCTGCCACCACTCCTGAACTCTCATCATCAATCATGTCCCTATCTCCTGGTAATCAAGGCCAACTCTACATGAGTATACACAAATCCATCCGAAGTTTGTTCTAAAAATGGAATACAAAGGACCATGGAAATAGATTGGTACCAGCTCCACACTACAACTCAAAACAACTCAAGTATTAAGGACACCCTTTAGGTCTACCTAAATTTAAAATCTTAGCTTTTGAAAGCATGCACTGAAAGTATAAATTTCATTACTGGATTATCTATTTCCTGATTTTCCTCTCTTTTTATCTGTTGTATATACAGAGCTGACAAGTCTACTGTGCCATCTTCATCTCTGTGATCTTTACCAGATAAGAACTGACAGCAAGACAACCATCAAAATACCTACAATACTTCACATCATAGCAAAATATGAAAGTTTAAAAAGAGAGAGAAATGGTCATGCCTGAAGTATGGAACATGTTGTGACATTTGACAAAATACCCTCGTCAAATAGAGACAAACTGGCATCAACACAGCAGCTGAGCTTGGGTTTGGGGTAGCAGCCAGTCCTCTTATTCTATCAGAGGCAAAGATTCTTGACAAAGTTCCAGCAGCAGATAACTGATGAAGCCCAGAAGGCTATTTGGATTCTCTAGTCCTGGGCTGTCCTTTGGGAGCCATTAGCCACATGTGGTTATTGAGAAGTTAATGTGGCTAGTGTTGTGAAAACAAAATGTATGAGCTTTTATATAAAATGTGAAATACCTTATTATAACTATGCTGACATGTTAAAATAATATATTTTATCATTTTATGGTTTGAATAAAATCGCTTATTAATTTTATGTGTCACTATATCTTTTTTTAAGCAGATGTTGAAGATTTTTAAATTACGTGTGAGACTCCTTTGTTTAAAATACTGTTGGCTCTCAGCTTTCATTTTAATAAATATCAGGGTCAAGTTATTTTAAGTTGAAAATTTGATTAGATTATTATATGCTTAGAGCTGAGTTAATTAATTAAATTACAGGAGCTAGAGCTGCAAACTAAAATTCTCTGCCTTCATTGGGAAGGAACTGGAGGAATCCAGTAACTATGAAAGGAACAGCCATAATAACTAAGTTAAACACTACAGAAATACCACAGCAGAGAAAAACGGACATCCACGTAAGTTAGACCAGAATGGAGCAAAGGAAGGAGGCTACCAGCAGGTTGTCCTATGTCTCTATACCATGATGCCACTAAGGACACCTCTCCTCTTCTGGGGTCTGATTCCACATTCTGAGTCCCCCCACTCACCTGGTCTTCCTTCCATGACCCTGAGACTCTCCATTAACCTTTTATCTTGCCAACTAAATTGTGAGCTGCAGAAGGGAAAGAGGCTGATAGTGACTGCCTATCCTGATAGCGTTTTACATAAGAAGAAAATCAGGATGTAATCAACAAACCCTAGCATCAAGAAACAGAGGGAGGGGCTTGGTCCTGCCTCCACTTGTTATGCCAGACTTTGTTGATTCCCCAGGTAAGGCCTTACCCTGCTGAGGAGTGGTGGGGAGGAGGAAAGGTAAGGAAGCCGGAGAAGGGAAGGGAGGGGGAATTGGGTTTGATATGTAAAACGAAAAATAAATTTTTTTAAATAAAAAAAAAAAAGAAAAGAAACGGAATGTCCCAGGAAGTAGAGATTTGCAACCATGTTAAGTATTGTTTCCTATGTGTTCATAAAACGGGGCATAACTCACGGGTTGTCTCATAAGCACTCGCAGGGGGAGATTCGCCCTCATCGTACACTGCAGAAACGCTCACTGTGTACGGGGTTTGAGAGGAGAGGTCTTTGAGGGTGGTGCTGGCCCTTGATCTGTCCACCTCCACCTGTAACAGGAAGAAAGCAGTGGTACCACTCTTTAAAGGATTCGCTTTGGCCTCCTGATGTTTAATAGAGCTTTCAGCACAAGAACAGACTAGTCATGGCTCAAAAAAAAAAAAAATTGTGAATTTTCAACTTGCATAAGAATCTAAAAAATAGGTACAACTTAACAGATTCCAGAAAATGTATGAACTGGAGTCATAATGACCTGATTCTCAGGCAAGCAATGGATACCTATGGCTTCAAGCAACCAAACCATTTTTATCTGCATCTTTTAATAGCATAGTCTTATTACTTGCAGAAATGTTCCCTTATATATGTATCTCATTTGCTGTACTCAATAACTCTGGGAAGGCCCACTGGCCATTAAATCCATTTGAAATGGGAAGCCAAAATGAAGTAAATATATACAGACATATAAGTCAACCTTCGTGCATTGCATAAATGACAAACATATACAAAGGAGTGAAAGTTTGGTTTCAAAAATGCTTCTAGAATTCTGGCATTAAAATTTCCTCAAGCACACCCAATTTTTAGCCCAACTTTTAAAGCCATCTTCCTAGGAAGCCACCTCATTTTGCTCCCACTTTGAATCACACTGCAGTATAAAAAGTTGTGCACCCCGACATCACCTCACAAAGATCAGTCCAAAAGGCAGAGCACTCCAACAACCTATTCCTTTCTCCATGTCATCTTCTTATCTAACACACTCCCTTCCCTCTTTAATGCACTCCTCGCCACCTTATATTTTTAGAACATTTGGCATTTTTAGTCATTCATAGACTAGAGGGTACCATATAAGGCAACTAGATGGAAAGGAAATACCGCGTGGATTCTCTAACTCTTTATCTACTGAGGGATGAGGTTTTTGAGATTAACATCACACAGCACAACATTTCCAAACTAAATCTAACACGGTCCAATATATTACTGATTTTCAAAAAAATGTTTTAACCACACAAATTTTCCGCCTTTCATTAACAAAGTGATAAGTATTCAAAACATACTATCATCCATCTACCCTTGATAAAGTTATTTTGTTAAGTCTTGGAAGAAAACAGCTATTTCCGTATCTTTTCTCATCTCCAACCTACCTCTTTGAACTCTTCTTCTGGAGTTTTGTATCTAACAATGTATTTACGAACTTTTCCAAGCACAGGTTCCCAGATGACATTCATGGTGCTGTGAGTCACATCTCTGAGTTTCACATCTTGAGGTCTGGGTAAGGGTACTGAAGAAGCACAAGACATTAGAACCAGATGTGGAGTCTCTATCACAGAGTTTTCAGCATCTGAACAAGCCTTCAGAAAGTTGCTTGGAGAAAACTTAAAGGCATGTAGCTAATGGTTTGCTGTTGTTGTTGTTGTTTTGGGTTTGTTTTGTTTTTTTGGTTTGTTTGTTTGTTTTTGTTTTTGTTTCTTTTTCTTTCCAGACAGGGTTTCTTTGTGCAATCCTGACTGTCCTGGAACTTGCTCTGTAGGCCAGGCTGGCTTCAAACTCAAGGATCCACCTGACTCTGCCTCCCAGGTTCTGGGATTAAAGGCATATGCCACCATGCCAAGGTTGATTTTTAATAAAATAATAGAAATGCCGTTTTTACCAGACTGAGTTGCTTTGTTCTCTAAAAGGCCTTTTAGAAATAGAATATATGCGGTCATTGCACTGCTGACTTCTTGTTTACATCGTTAAACTGCTTGCTGCTCAGCCATAATGCATCATAAATTCACCATAAGTGGTATCTTCAGACAGTTGTATGTCTTCAGATATTAAATAATACTGAAAATAAGTTAATCAAAAGGTGCTCCCCTAAGGATGTTACAGGAGCTCTCTTGATTACTTTTCAGAACTTGACAATAAGACTCTATTCCTGCAGACGCCACATACCTGAGTCATAGAACATGAATATTCAAGCTGGCAGTATCCTAGAAACTGAACCCCTATTGATTTGCTTTCATAGTGCTAAAAGGGGCTGTATACACTACCAGAAATGAAAAGTAGCCATCATTCCACACAGCTGTGAACACTGAAGGCTACAATAATGACTGGCCTGGCAAGATATACTCATTGATGAGATAGTGGCATGAATGCCATGGGCGTAACCAACTACTTTCTGATTTGACTTGTCCTGCTCCACAAGATGAAATACATGCTCATCACTACCATTATCAAAGCCAGCAACCTGTGACTGGGCAGGTCAGAAGCCATAGACAACAACTTTCTACTATTACTTTGATAAATAAATATAATATGAAATCAACTCCTGTTGACTTATCATTGTGTCCATAGATTAATGCAACTCTCAGCCATCACCAGAGAAGCTCCTTTCTGCCACAGATTGTGATGAACACAGAGATGCACAACTGACCAAGGTATAAACAGTATATCATCTGTATTACAACCTCTCCTCCCAAGGCTCAGAAATCATTTGAAAAAAGGGGGGAGAAAGTTTTTAAGAGCTAGACATGGTGGATGACTACAAGGTAACAGCATTCTCCAAACTCAACAGTGCAGTTGTGCATATGAACTCACAGGAACTGTGACAGCATGCACAAGACCCATGCAAGTTCAAGCCAGATAAAATCCAGCATGGAGATTGGAAGTAGGCATGAAGTCCCACCCCTGCTGGGTAGTCATTGGCAACTGCTACCTTCTGGGAGAGAAAGTGTGTCAAATTTAAGTGAGTGGACCCTGGTAAACTAACTGTACTTCATTGGATATGGATACAGATATACCCAAAAGTATATGGGCAGCAAAAATTGGACTCAATGGGTTTAAAAAGGAAAACAGAACACAAAGATGGTTGGGTAGGGAAGGGAGGTGAATCTAGGAGACATTGGGGGATATGATCAAAATAAATTGCACAAAATTCTCAAAGAACCAGTAAAAGAGAATATTATAGGGGATATATATATAAAATAGTTATGGGAATTAAATGGTTGGAAGAAAATATAAGTGATAAAATTTTGCCAAGTCAAACAAATGATTACCTTTTAAAAAGAAGATAATGGATAAAAGATATTTTTTTTCTTTTCTTTTTTTTTTTTTTTTTTTTTGCACAGGGTCTTTCTACATAGCCTTAGCTATCCTGAAACTCATGACGGTAAACCAAGCTAGTCTTTGGACATACAAAAATTTCCCTGACTCTGTCTCCTGAGTGCTGGGATTAAAGTTGTACACTACCACCCCTTCACATGGGAAGCAGGTAATGAATCTATACAGAGGCTCATTGCCCATTGACCTCGCTGAACAAATAGACCTTAGTCTCAGAAGGTCCAAACTAGAGTAACATTGTCCTTCTTTAAACACAACTCCTGCTCTTTATGAAACCACTAGTTAAAACTCACCTAGACCTCTGAATCATCTCTGGCACCCTCTCCTCTCTCAACCCCATTCACATAATCAGCAGAAGGGATCTAAGTCCAGATAATTCAACTTTTCCATTGTCTGAGGTTAGACCAAGATCACCACATAATTCCTATTTCTAGGCGTGCTGTGTTCTGTGAAGATAACCCTAGTTGCTTGTCTATGTTGTGTTTCCTTAGAGCACCTACTTCTTGTGGGCTTAGTTCTCAATGGGTGATAAGAAAATCTGTTTCTCACTCAAGAAAGAATGAAAACAAGCAAATGTTAATACTTTTAAATGTGGGAATAGCCATTTTAAAATAGCCAATGGTTGTACTTTCTGTGGGTAGATAAGAGTGAATAACAGTATCTAGAAAAAATAATAATAAAAATGAACATGATAAATATGTTGTGACCAACAGCAAGATGCTGCAAATAATAACTTAAAGAGAAAGGAGTCAGTCCTCTGGGTCCATGACAAATCACTTTCTTATAAACTCCTTTGGGTTTCTTTGTAAGCCCAAACTGGGTGAGTGTGCCTACTCTCAGCAGCCTAACCTTTATTGTACTTGGGTCAAAGTCAAGCTTGCAAAATTATCAAGTAGTTTTACTGTCTGGGAAACTTCAATGAATGCAACTATTACTTGGTTGATTAAAAAAAAATAAAGAAAAAAAGCAGATAAAAGATGTTTTCATCCCTACTCCAAGTTCACTCCAATTGAAAAAAAAAAAAAAAAAAGACAATTCTCTCAGCTAACCCAAAGCCAGAAGCCTACAAATTCTGGCTGCCCAGCTGGTCTATTTCTCCAGGGAAAAGGTCAGACTGTTGTTCAAAATCCAAAAGAGAAAATCTGTAAAAGTTTGGAGACAGAAGTTCAAGGAGGAACATGAAAAATAAAATGCAAATGTAACCAGGGACCCAAGCATTGTGAAGTATTTCTGCCACACTGTTTACTGAATTCATCCTACTTCTCTGAAACCATTGTAAGTTAATGACAGACTGTCTCTACACAACCTGCATGTTTAAGAGAAATGTCCTTTTATTCTAAGGATTATGGATTTATGTGTCATTATTTTCGCAAAGCCGTTTGTGTTGGTTCTTTCGCTGTCCTATCCTGTGGTTTACATGGATATTAATCCATCTGTGCCCTCCCCTGCCACTGCAAACTCAGTTCTGAAATTCTGTTTCTAAACCCTAATCCCTTCCCATGGTTACCTCATTGAAAGCCCACAACAGCGTCCCTAACGATTTGACACTAACTGGATAACTTCTCTGCATCTATGTCTTTGACAGTAAAGAAGGATTATGTGATTTTGAAAGGTCTCGAGTTTAAGACTGTAACTTCACTTCACTTCACATTCAGGGATCATCAGCATAGAGCATCAAATCTGACACTCTACAGCTGAGGAAAAGAAAGCAGACACAAGATGCCTGTCCTGGGCCTGTACCTTAGGAAACTGGAAGAGGCTATCAAACATTACTTAGCATGCTAAATCTGTGAGTTTGTTAAGTCGTGGCCATCTGTGTACCATAGCACTGACCTGAAGTTGTTCCACTCAAGAACAGATCCGTGCCAGAAAAGGGGGGGGGGTCTCTTAACTCTCCTTCTTTTCTCCTCCCACTTTTGTGCATTATCTGAGCCATATAGCCTAAATAACCCCTTAAATAAATTAGATGCCATTTTTAGTTTGGTGTCATCCCCCCCCCAAAAAAAAGAAATTACAAAATGAACTAGAGACCTTTAACTAGGAAGCTCCCTGCAACAGACACTTGGCATCAGTAAAGACAATTCTACAAAACTTTAGAACTATTTCTACTATTTCTGTGAGGTTAAATTCATTCTAACTTGCCCAGAATCAAAAGATAAATTCATGAAGGGTAGTTTTGCCATAATCTTCCTATATAAAAAGGAAGGAATTTTTACATATAACAAGGACAGAATTTCATAATTAGTTTCCCAAAAGCCGTCATACCATGTGCCAGATGTAGACACCATAAATTGTAATGTTGTATCTACTTACGCCAACTCAGGGGATGCTCCTGGCATCCAGAAGGTGAAAACCTCTAAAGCTGTGGAGCATGTCAGAGTGAGGTCCCCACCCAGACAGACCAGCACCTGGCTAAGCTTACCAGGGCCCTTGACACTGTTACACAAGTTGATGGTGAGGTCATCCACAATCTTGGATAATGACTCAAAATCTGCCACATTGTATGCATGGGTGTCATCTGGATCAGTAGCAATCATTTTTAGTTCAATTTCATCAGCATTCTTAATACCTTGGAAAACAGTTAAGTACAGATTGAAAGCATTTGTCAGGAAAAGTTAATGGAATGAAGCAAATACTCCTGCCTTTTCTTTTTATAGGTGCTCCCCCACCGAGTCCGTATTGGGGCATATGTATATGATCACAGATGCTCACAGAGGCAATGTAGGCAAATAAATCCCATTGTATGATTTTATTCTTCTCAGATATAGCAAGGTCTTGGTCATTCCAAAACAGCTAGAACTGAAATTTTGAAAATAATATAGGTTTTTTTCCCCTCTTTATTAATTAATTTCAATTCCTCTCTCACTAGACTTTTGTTTGGAAGGGTCAAAAATTCTACCATCTGCTTGCTTGAGCGAGTATGGTAACTAATGACATTTTTAACTAAAAAAATGTTCTCGGCACATCTGCCACCCCAGGGAAGCACTGTCTTCTCCAATGTTTACCAATAGCAAACAGCTCCACTCCTTCATCCTTGAGTTTCTTTGATGGAGCCTCCACGTCATCTTGTGATTTTCCATCAGTAATGAGAACTCCAATTTTGCGAGCACGAGGCCTCATGCCAGCTTGGGTCCTGAAGCTCTGTTGGCGAATGAAATTCAAAGCCATGCCTAGTGGGATTTTTAAAAAGACAGCCAGTCACATCATTTCTCAGCTATCTGCCTGACCAAAAGCACGTGTCAAAACCTCAACAAAGCATCCCGACTTACCCGTGAGGGTGTTTCCTCCTTTGTACGGTAAGTTCGCCACAGCCTGCAATAAACTCTTCTTGTCTCTGTGAGCATTTAACTGCCACTCTGTTCTGGGGTCTCCACTGTACTGAGCGAGAGCTAAAATAATAGCATGGCCGTTAGGCTGTATTAAAGACTGAAATCAAATTGCCAAAGACCTTCAACATTGTTGGAACCTACCAATTTGTACTCTCTTGGGACCAATATCAAAGATTTCCACAATACGAGAAATAAAGCTCCTCACGGTTCTAAAATTTGCACGGCCGATGCTCCACGACCCATCCACCAGCAACACAATGTCTGCTTCCGCTCTGGTGAGACACTCCATCCCTGACACAGCAATCATGAGACAGGACAGTAAGGAGCACATAGTTGGCAGGTTGCTCCCTATACAACCTCTGCCACCCAAGTTGTCTATTTCAACACACCAGCTAAGCTTAATAATTCAAAGCCACAACTATAATTTATTAAGCTAAAATAACAGTCACAGGAACCAATTTCTCTAAAGATTATTTAAGTGGCAAACCTTCATCATTGATTACATTTCCTGACCATGACTATACAACCTTAAGATTTTAACTAAACCATGATGGTCAGTTTGAAAGGCTCACATAATTAATACCTAAAATAATAAATGAGAATGCATAACTATCTAACAATAATTTGAATAATTGGATGTGAATAAGGTAAGATATTGCATTCTTCACTATTTAAGGTATTAGCAAATAAATATAAGATAGACAGATTAAATGTGTAAACTATAAATTGTTTCAGTGAGCCAAAACTATCCTTTATAATAATTAGGCTACCATGTAACTATTACATGTTATGAAGGATTAGACACACGACTCTTGAAATTTGAACTTTATGAAATAAAGACATGTTTTGAAAATCTGACACATGGTTATATTATCTCATTGTTAATTGTTTGATTTTTCATCTATTGTAGATAAATAAATTCAGACAGCAAAGTTTGCACATTCAAAAAATTGAAGAAGGAGGAAGACAATTAGGAAAAGTGTGCAAAGAAATACACAAAATGAGAGCTGTAGAAACAACAAACAAACACAGATACAAAGCGAAGGTGCTTTGGGAAGAGAAAATAATCCCAATATCCTCAGTGACAAGCTACAAAATAAAAATATAAGTCAGTTAATATCGTCATAAGAGAAACAATGACACAATGCAAAATATCAAAATTTAACTTTCTTTTATCTACATCTAACTTTAAATACTCTTTTTTTTCTAGAAGATTGTGACCCCAGCCTTAAATTTTCCCATCTATTGCAATGTTATCAGATCATCTTTTAATCCCTATAAAAGTGAAAGAAAATTAAGCAATGCTCATCACACTACCAATTACACAGTGCCATCCATGTACTACCCTTCCCAAGATGGGAGACTCCCAAACACTGTTCCTAAGGCCCTCACCTTTAAAATCTCTGCCTATACTAAGACCTACTGGTTTTATTAAATGATTTTTCAAAAATTTAGAAGTAAACTCTATCTCCTACTCCCACCTTTAATTCTATTTAATGCTGGCTTTGTTTACATCAAAGCTGTAACTATGGCAAGGGGCAGAACATCTAAAGGGCTTGTGCTACCATTTTGCTTGCAAGTCATGATTGCCCACTTTTTTTTATGTAAAGCCTTCTTTCTCAGCCAAAGTAAGACACTGAAGTAAAAATATATAATTATTATAATGAAAGAAAATTGTATCACTAAAGAGAAAAATTAGAAAGCATAACTTCTACTGCTACACTTAATAAAAACTCATTTTCAAATAACAGTATTTAATTAATGCAAAACTGAAAAAGAAAAGCCAAAAATCATCTCAGTTGGATATATTGAAGCACTTTTTCAAACATAAAATAAGCATGTGAATTATTTAAATAAACTGTAGTAAAAATTATAATTACTTATCATTGTTTAATAACCTAAGACTTCACATTTAAGATAGCTTCTTACTATTTTCCTATGAAAATATAACTCAATTTCTTACCAGAGGATAAAAATGGTGTCACAGTTGTGTCAGAAAGGGTTGTCATTTCTTGCCCAACAAGTGGTAAACTTTCTCCTCCATCAAACATCCCAAAAACATTGACTCTATAGGTGGTGCCTGCCCTGAAACAGTGACGTGCAGAGTAGGTATGGACTATGAGCCAGGAAAGCAGCTTTCATCTTGTTAAAGACATTCATCTTCGCTAATAAACTTTTACCTAGAGCAACCTATGATGCTCAGTATTGTGGAAAACGAAAAATAATTGCCATCGTATTCCAGCTTGATGATGAGGAATCACAGGATACTAGCCGCCCAGCCTTCCAGAGATCTCTGGAGATTTACAGAATCATTTCTGGACTGGCTTTGCTGCCAGAGGCAGAATTCCCCCCAGGCCCCTCAGAATGGAGAAGGATCTGCCTTGCTTCTGCTGCCTCTAAGATGCTGTGTTTAAGAAGACTGAAATGCTCAATGTCTGCAAGGTAACCCAAGGCACTGAGCACTGGGCAGCATCAAACAGTGGCATCACTAACTTTTATCCTATCTATTCAAGTGACAATAAACAACAAGCATTATACAGGGTGAACAACTATTAAATGAAAACTTGAACAGACAAAGTTTCCAAGAGGAAGGTACACTAGTCCATTGGTACCACTGGATGAATGTGGAGTGCTGGTCAAACTCACACTCCTTTGTTTTCCAACTCACTGCCTAAAACTAGACCCTGAATCAACCCAAAGCTGCTTTGCCAGCTGGCAACAAGTTCAGACTCTGGCCTTTGAGCTCAAGTATGCCTCACTGCAGGGACACCCACACTGGGGGGTCTCAGAATGAGTTACCTGGCCACACATTTCCACATGGCTTCAATTGCAATGAAACTATGTGATATGGACATGTTAAAATCCAGGTACTCTTTTTTTCTTTAATATATCCCTGATCACTTAAAAAAAAACTATTTAAAAACACAAACTATTAGTTCAAGCTTAAATCTTGGCTGAAAACAGATATGAGATAACTCTTTGTGCAAAACCTACTAATTTATATAAGTGATGCAATCTTTTAGTACAAATATAGTTCATTCCTACCTAAGCTCCTCCAAGACAACAGTGTTGTCATATGGTCCAAGGACCAACTCCCCTAGTCTTCTGTCATCACCAGTAGGATGGAACGTGACTTTGTAACCTTTCACTTCCCCAGGGGCAGGCTCCCAAGTCACTCGGAAACTTGACATTGTTGGATCGGAAGTTTTGAGGTTTCTTGGTGACTTAAATCTAGAAGCTGTAAAAGTGAAAAGGTTTTTTTATATATGTATGTATTATCAATAAGACAGTCTTTGGTGTTTTTTATTAGTTCCCACAAACATATGTATGTATGAAGAGCCAAGTCCAGTATCACAGATGTCAGGTTCAATAAAAGCCCTGAGCAACGCAGTAGTGCTCAAGCAGCATAATCAATTCTCACAATTCAGGTGAGTTCTAGATTGATACATTAGCCAGAAGGATCATTTTTACCAGGAACTAGATTTGTAAAGCAAATAACACACTAGTCAGACATCCCGACTAATAAATTTATTACAAGTTTAAAATGTTTGCATGCATGGTGCTCGAGCTTGAATTCAGGGCCCCATTTCTGTTGGGCAAATACTTCTACAACTCAGCAACAGACACCACCCCCAAGCCCACAACCCCAGATTCAATGTGAAATGTTTCCAAATGAAAGATACACTACAGTTTTCTTTTAAAATGCACCATACTTTCTCCCCTGAAGGCACGATTGGTATTGCTACTGTTGTGTACCTGTTGTCCCTGATCCTTGCCTCAGCTTTCCTTCTCCTGTCTTATACATCGGGAGAACTGTAATGTCGTATGTGGTCTGGGGTTGAAGTCTCTTTAGCACTGTTGAAGTGACTGTGGGTGGCACCTTAGCGACCATTTGTCTCCCTCCCCCTTGAGGGCGATACACAACACGGTAGTTGACAACTTTCCCTGGTGCTGGTTTCCACGTAACTCTCATCGTGTGTTCGGTTTCTTCATCCACTTTTAAGGTTTTAGAATCTTGGGATACTGTAAAATTAAAAAAAATTAATGTATAACTTGTCAAAAGAAAACAATTTTTGTCTGCTCCTTCCTTCATGTAAGAAGAAACTCTGGATTCTTAAGTGTGGACACAGATGTCTTGCTTAACATCATAGTCTCTTGGGTTCGTGATGGCATGTGAGCCTAATCCCAGCTTGGCCTCAGTGGGATGCTTTTTTTTATCTAGTTAATACTAAAAAATGAAAGTTCATATTGCAGGGATTTCCTATTTGCATTCTAGAGACTTTAGTAAAGAAAAAAATCCATCTCCAAAGATGTGGTTTTAAATTTTTATTGTGTTTTATCTTTAAAGAATTCCTCTAGTAATAAAGCCAGAAGGAATACTAAAGATGAAAAAGAAGAGTTAGAAATTTCATTCTGGCCTTTTCAGAAGACGCTACAATCTGTAAATGGCTGGCCAGAGTTAACATGATTGACATCAATCTTCTGATTTCTAGGTGCATGTAAGACTATGAACACAAGAGAACAGGCAACTCTAATAGGTAAAAGCATCTCAAAGGCTAGCAGATAAAAGCATACATGTCAAATATTTTAGGAAGCAGTGTGTGTTAACATGTATCTAATGTGTAGCTAATATTATCACTCAACTAGTTCTTTTACTAATATTTCATTATTATGAATAACTGTCAGAAATAGATCACCAAATAACTTCAAACAACCAACATCCCCTTTCTTATAAATAATGAGTTTATTGGGAGGATCATTTAATTCAATGGAATATTCTTAAGACTGGAAGACTCACATATACTTTTAGAAGGCACTAAAGCTGAAGGAAACAAAATCAACTGTCTTTGCAGGTTTTCAAAGAAATTTTCATGGTCAAATGGATAAGAATCATAATGAAACAGCTTTCAATGGGGAGGGGATAAACTTTGTTAAAATAGTTTTAAGACAATGAACATTACTTAGCATCATTGATCCCTGGGACTTTAGGAAGAGACTAGGGCTGACTCTATGGTTGGTCATGGAGTGTTTCCATCTCCAACACAGGCCAGTGGGATCCAGATGGAGCCCTGTGGTTTCCTTAACTGAAGAGATCATGGGAGTCCACATCAACTGGAATCCACAGAAAGGGCACAGCAATAGAGAGCGTGCCACAGATAAAATGCTCCGGAACCATACAGAGGATCCTCTTTAGGTCTCCAACCCAGAATACATCAGGGCATATGTGTGAGAAGAGTACCACAAACTAGAGCACGCACCACCCAAAACAAACAGAACCACTCTTGATGATCATGTGTGGCCAGAAAGTTCCCCAGTCCAGAAGACCAAAGTTCAGAATCGTGGTATGTCAGGTGATTATTTCAATAACAAAGCAAAAGTGGTCCTAAACCAAACCCTGAATTTCAAAAAGATCAAACTATTTCCAAATCACTACATTCTAGACAGAGGGTAAGATCAACATTTACAGTAATGTACTTTCCAGAACCCAACAAAATAAAACTCACAACATCTAGATCCAAATGAAAATTGTAAGGCACACTGAGAACAAATTTGTCACCTAAATTTTGGATGTAATAATTGTGTCCTCCCTAAAAGTCATGTTGAAACTTTAACCTCCAATGTTGATATTTGCAGGTAGGACCTTTGGGGAGGTAACTTCAATTAATTAAGTTTGTGTAGATACAGCCTTAATCAAATGATGTCAGTGACCCTAGTAAAGAAAATGGGGAAACCAGTCTGTGCTCACCTTCCTCTACCACTCTACCACAATCTCTGATGTAAAGAACCTAAGCGTGTGTGTGTGTGTGTGTGTCTGTGTGTGTGTGTCTGTGTGTGTGTGTCTGTGTGTGTGTCTGTGTGTGTGTCTGTGTGTGTGTGTCTGTGTATGTGTGTCTGTGTGTGTGTGTGCATGTGTGTCTGTGTGTGTGTGTCTGTGTGTGTCTGTGTGTGTCTGTGTGTGTGTCTGTGTGTGTGTGTCTGTGTGTATGTGTGTGTGTGTCTGTGTGTGTGTGTGTGTCTGTGTGTGTGTGTGTGTCTGTGTGTGTGTGTGTGTCTGTGTGTGTGTGTGTGTCTGTGTGTGTGTGTGTGTCTGTGTGTGTGTGTGTGTCTGTGTGTGTGTGTGTGTCTGTGTGTGTGTGTGTGTCTGTGTGTGTGTGTAGGCCATGAAGCTAGAAAAGAGGGTTTGTGAGAGAAGAAGAGATTTCAAGGGAGGATAGAAAATAGAATAATAAAATACTTGTGATTGAAAAGCAGTAAAAGGGAATTAAATAGGGAAAGGAAGCAGGGAAGCCAGGAGATTAGCAGTCTGGGAGAAGAACAAATGCAAATGCAGACTGAGACATTCTATGCAGATGTCACAGTGAAACACACTCCCTTATGTGCTATCCTAAAAAGTTTTTTTTAATTGTATCTTAGATCAAAGGAGAAGAAAAATGAAAGTTCATCACATTAAATTATTGCTAATGTTTACAAACACTAAAATTGGTGGGCATCCGTATTTTCCTGGAAGGTGCTATACTAAAATATATTGCATGATCTCCTATTTCTGTCTCCTAAATTTTTTCTTAGTAGAACAAGACATCTTTGTCATACATAAAGTTCTCAAACTTTTATTCCCACAATCCACAATTGAGAAAAATGGAAAGTTAAATCTTATGAGTGGTACTAAAAATAAATAAACCAAGTTCCCAAGAGAACATAATCCCAAGATGCCAAATCTTTATCAATTTAAACATGTCAATAGCAGCCAACTGTTCTACCTCGTGCCTTGACACACTCTGTGGGTTTCTACTGTACTTTTACATTTCCATGAACAATAAATAAACTGAACTGAAATGAGGTACATCAAATCTCAACTCATTTTCAATGGGAAATTATACTTTAGGAAGAGAAAATAAAAGCTTTGGTGCTTCTCATAATTAAAAGTCAATGCTTCTAACATCATTAATAGATATGTCATGCACTACAAAATGCTGGGGCAGGCTTACACTGTGTGATTTCTCTTCATGTTTTAACAACTCACAGTTGTTAAACTGTTTAACAGCTCCTATGCCACTGCTGAATTAGCCACCATGAGGCAGGACAATGGATAGTCTAATCCCAATTCATAATTTTCATGGCATCAAACATTCATGTGCCATGTCCTTGAGTTTCAGTTGAAAGTGATGCCTTTCACATTTCTAAACACTCAGTGAGAAGCACATATAAAAATGTGAAACTTTTTTTTTCTATCAAGATACCTTGATAGAGGGAGCCATTATGGGGTTAGGGAGAAACCTGGTGCTAGGAAAATTCCCAGGAATTTTCCAGGATGACCCCAGCAAAGACTTCTATCAATAGTGGAGAGGGTGCCCAAACTGACCTTCCTCTATAATCAGATTCGTGAATACTCTAATTGTCATCATAGAACCTCCATCCACTAACTGATGGAGGCAGATCCACATTCAAGCACTAGGCTGAGCTCCTGGAGTTCAGTTGAAGAGAGGAAGAAGGGATCACATGAGCAAAGAGGCGGGTCAAGATCATGACTGGGAAAACCACAAAGACAGCTGACCTGAGCTAATGGGAGCTCACAAACTATAGACTGAACCTGCATGGGACCGAACGAGGCCCTCTGAATGTGGGTGAGTTATGTGGCTTGATCTGTTTGTGGGGCCCCTGGCAGTGGAACCAGGACTTATCCAGGGTACATGAACTGGCTTTTTGGAGCCCATTCCCTGTGGTGGGATACTTTGCTTAGCCTTGATGGAGGAGGGGGCTTGGTCCTGACTCAACTTGGTATGCCAGACTTTGTTGACTCCCCAAAGGAGGCTTTACCCTCTCTGAAGAGTGGATGGGGAGTGGAGGGGTGAGAGAAGAGGAGGGAGGGTGGACTGGGGTTGGTATGTAAAATGAAAAAAAAAAACATTTAATTTTAAAAAATGTGGAAGTTTCCAAAACAAAAGAAAAAAGTTTTCCTCTAAATGTTTAGAAATGTCTGTGACTAACAGATGTTTGTTGTTATTTGGTTTTATCATTGCTGCTGTTTTGGTTGGTTTGGTTTTTGTTTTGTTATGTTTAAATATTCTTTGCTTTTTTTGGTTTGTTCCTATTCTGCTTTTGTTGTGCCTACTCATTATACGTGATACAGTGTTATATAAGGACATCTTTATACCAGATAGAATGTGAATTGAGTACATTCCTCCCATACCCAGTCCTTCCAGTTGGCTCTCTTAGAACACTATTCACGTCACAAGCAAAAGTGAGCAAAGAGAGGCCAGATCTAGTGGCTCGTGCATTTAATCCCAGCACTCAAGAGGCAGAGGCAAGCAGCTGTCTATGAGTTTGAAACTAGTGTAATCTACATAGTGAGTGCAAGCCAGCAAGGGTTACATAATGAAATCCTTCTTATAAAAGAGAGAGAGAGAGAGAGAGAGAGAGAGAGAGAGAGAGAGAGAGAGAGAGAGAGAGAATATAAAAGAAATGGGGATCAAGAAGCACAGATATGCCCCGGGTATCCTTCCCTGCTTCACATACACACAGCTTTCTCCATTATCCACACCCTCACCCAAATGGTACACTTGTTGAAATTACTAAACATATACACTGTCGTTCAAAAAATAGGAAGGAAAACAAAGAAATGTTGATTGCCTCCTCCTTCCACAGATAGACTGTTCACAATTATTCACAAGAAAAAAGTTATGAAACAGAAGTCAATCTGAGCCACAGAAAATTGAATGGGCTTTTGAGTTAATCTTAGCAAAAATTAACAAGAAAGGGGTAACAAATCTAGTATTACTCTCATGTCAAAAGCATAAACTCAACATCCTCTCATTGTTACTGACGTGCTTTAATGGCTAGACATTGTGCCTGGTAGTCTGTCTACTGTCATTTCATTTAATCCTCATGGCACTATAAGAGAAGAAATTCATCATCTGTATTCTACAGATTAGGAAACTGACATTTGAAAAAAAAGCTAAGGCACATGACCAAAAACATGCAATCACAAATGCTCCTAAATTCTCTTAGTCTACATGGGAGATGCATTTTCACTAGTTGAGTAGCCTAGCTAGCTGACCCTTTTACTAGAAAACAAAATTTACATGTGGCCAGGAAGAACTCAAAATTGTCCAATTATAATATTATTTTTCAAGTCTGAACCTAATTTGAACTTAAACCACACTCCTTAAACATCATCAATGTTCAGTTCTTGTTCCCAATTGAAGAAAAAAAAAACCTCAGTGGTTACACTGCATGTCACCTGAGCTGATTAGTTATTAGGTAGCACCAAGATGTATCCCTACACCCTTGGAACGTTACCTACATTCGGTTGTGGCATCTCCAGTCACGGGCTCTCCTTCTCCGCTGCTGTAAGTTGCAAAAACTGAAATTTTGTACTTTGTCTCTGGCTGTAGATTCTCTATCATAGTATGAATTGCGTCTCCAGGAAGATTTTTCTCTCCAGCCTCAATATCATCATAAAGTGACTTCCATGAGACTCTGTACCCACGAACCATTCCTGGAGCAGATGTCCAATAGGCCCCAATAGAAGTGTCCGTGATATCTTTTGTAACTAGATTTTGGGGTGAACCACGTTCTAAAACAGAGGTTTAAAAAGTAGCACTTTTTAATTTTTTAACAATCTTTTTATTTTATATACCAATCCCAGTTCCCCCTCCCTCCCCTCCTCCCTCTTGCCCTACCTTCCCCCCACCCTATATCCTCTCCTGAGAGAGAGTGAGGCCTCCCATGGGGGGGGATCATTAAAGTCTGTCACATCATTTGGGGTAGGACCAAGGCCCTCCCCCTGTATCTAGGTTGAGCAAGGTATCCCTCCATAAGGAAGGGCTCCAAAAAGCCAGTTAATTCACTAAAGATAAATCCTGGTCCCTCAGGAGTAGTACTTTTTAAATGTTAGCTACATAATTAAGTATTCACTCATCCTGGTAGACATCCTAACCTATTGAACTGAACCTCAAACTCTCTAAAACTGATCATTCTTTCTGAGCTTTGGGGCTGTTTTTAACCAGTGGAGCAAATCGGTGGAAGAAAGCTCCAAGTTACACAATTCCTATCTATCAACCTTACCCCACATTCCCATTTGCATTGCAGGGTCCTCTAGGCCAAATTTGAAGAAATACATGCTTTTAATATTTTTCCAAAAGGAAAAATGTCTAAATGTCAATATTTTATCAGATTTCAGAGTGCTTTAGGACATAGCCCACTGTTCACAAAGGTCTCCATGTCCAACCAGGATATTTATTTCTTTCTGATTTTATTATATGACTAACAGTTACTACAACAATTGTATACCACTTACAAACCTTAACTCCCACAATAGCTTTCTGAATAAACTTTTACTTGCATATTCAGTTCAAAAGAGTAGAAGTACAAACATTCAACATAGTTTGACTCCAATGAAACTAAAAATCACCAATACGTGTGGAAAGCTGAAAAGTAATTAGTCATCAAATATAGCATACCACTTGCTCTATCTGATCAAAATGCTACAAAATCATGGCTCTTTCATTAATATATACATATCCTAAATGGAAAAACATAGAAACCTCAACTTAATAATAGGCACAGATGTGTTCTAGTAAAAGCCTCATTTTCCATATTTTAAATGTAATGTAAATATACTAGTCACTTTATATTAGATGCTTTTACTAGGGTATATGCCACGTTATGACATAAATATAAAACTTTCTGCCTCCTTAGCATACATTATGCCAGTCATTGTTTTACATTCATGTAAATGATAATGTACACGCTAGATTTTTGAAAGCTGCTATTTTCTTAACTCAAAGTGAAGACGAACATTTTAGGACTCATAAACAATTAAGCATCAACCAAAAATAAAGATGATGATTAATGAAAAAAAAAAGTCAGTGCACAAACACTCTCCTCGTACATGGTAGAACTTAGAGGGAAAGATAAATAAAACAGAAGCTGGAAAGCCTAATAGATCCTAACGGAAAGTTCTTACTCCATTATAAATAACTTTGAAAGCAGACAGGCCATCTCATCTCCGGAAGGAAATTAGCTGCATATTTCACTGAAACCAAGAACACTTATTTTCAAGAACATAGTGACTTTTTCCCTCGGTACTTAAAAGTGGAAAAGTCTTTTATAGGAGAATCTTCTGCTTGCATGGTAATAACCTCTATATTTTCTTCACTTGAAGAATATGAAAATGTAACTCCATATTACTGGCTTCTTGGCTTGGTTTGGTTATTCGTTGTTTTTTACTTGTTTTGGTGACTTGTTTCCCACCACTCTGCTAAGTTACAAGTCTGCAATACACTTTTCCTTTGCTTACTACAGATCATTTTTCCACATGTGCTTTTGCTTCTGAATTTCTTAGCCTGTAGTCAGAAGAACTCCTGGGAAACAAACACACTTAATAGTGACTTTGGATTTAAATAAGCTAGTTGATGCACTAACGATATTCTCCAAACACATAAAAATTATCTAGAATATAAAAATTTTTTCCAAATTAATACCAGGGTAATCATCAACATCTACTTTTCTGAAGGCTTCATTTTTCAGACTATTTTTCTCCCTGATTTCTACAGCACTGAATTTGTGGCATTGTTTATTTCCATGACAACAGGCATCAATCTCACAAACACAAGCAAATAATCTCACTCTGAGAAAAATAACAGGAAGAGAATTGTGGTTGAAGCAAAAATATATTCACAGAGATGTTTCTGAGCTTAAAACAAAAAGATCTCTGATCACTAGACATGTGTTCCCACGAGTTTAACCAACTATTTTAACACTCAAAAGACTTGTAAAACTAGAACAAAATACTAACAAAATCACAATGGAGACTTTGTCAAGTGCATTAATGTCCTGAAACTAGTTTGCAAAAGTCCCTTTCAATATACAAATGAAATAACAACTAAAAGATATTTGACTTCTCATTAAAGACACACCAACAATGACTTGAGCATCCTCACAGAAGATTCTCAGCCACAAGGAACAGGCTTTAACGCACAGTTCACAGTATGTGAACACCATCTGCAGACACACATATTGACACATTCCGCACTCAAGATGAAGTTCTGACCCCAAAGAAAGGGGGAAAATGCTCAATTCACAATCCATGACTGAAAAAGATAAATGCTTCAAACCTGTTCCCTGTTCCCTGCATCAGTCAGAGTGATAAGAATATCCCTCAGTGTTTATGCTGTTATCAGGCATACTGCTGTTTTTCTTCCATAATAGGAGGCTACCCATTCTATTGAAATATAAGATACTTTGTAACAAGTGGATTTGTGAGAAAAAAAAATAGTTCCATTAGGAGACTAAATATCAGACCTATAACCCATAAAGTGTTGTTGTTGTTGTTGTTGTTGTTTTCTTTTTAAATGGGGTGTTGGTTTGGTCAATCATTAAGAATATCGAAAACTAAAGCAACTGTGTAGGGCTCTGTGGTACAACAGACAGAATACAGGCTTGCAGTCAGCTGGTGTTGGAGTTAAGTGTAACCACGTGAGTGAGCCATCAGCAAGCTATGTCACTTCTTAGTGCCTTGGCAAAAAAAACGTATGGACTGGACATGATTAGGTACATAAAAATGCCTTGAGAGGCAAAGCTCAATACTGATCAAATCAGAATGCATGAGACTGTCTAAATACTAACAGTTCCCAAAAATCTGTCCTGTCTCTCCACTCTTCTGCCCCTCTCTCTCACTCCCCCCACACACACACACACATTTCTGTCTAGTTTCCTTCTGGCGCTCCTCTCTGAGACTTACAGGGCTATTTGTTCAAAAGATACACTGGGCCCAAGTGACAATGAACCTTCACTCTTATTTTTGCTCCTAGAAAATGAAGAATCCATGATAAGCAAAACTCATCACAATGTGGCATCTCTGAGACTGCTTGGCGGTTCCTCTATTGGATAGCTTTATTACCATGCCCATGAGATCAAAGTCACTTCAAGACTGATGCTCAGAGGGCTGGGAAGTTGACTGGGCCTACCATCACATGCTTTCGTGTCATAAAACGTGATGTGGGCCAGGCGTTGGTGGTGCACGCCTTTAATCCCAGCACTCGGGAGGCAGAAGCAGGCGATCTCTATGAGTTCGAGACCACCCTGGTCTACAAGAGCTAGTTCCAGGACAGCCTCCAAAACCACAGAGAAACCTTGTCTTGAAAAAATAAAAGCAAAAAAAACAAAAAAACATGATGTGGGGTGTCTCACTCTCTTCTCTCTGCCCTAGCCTGAAAGAAAATGATTCTCAACATATGCTTGTTTTTGAATGGGCAATGGCGCTCTTATGGGGTTTAGTCAAAGTAAAAGTATCATCTAGTCAGGCATTTGGATGTTTAATTTATAGCTCCTGCCCTCAAAGAAGCTTCAGTTACCAGTCACTACCAGAAAATATTTCAGTTTGGTAAGATTGGGTTTGAGCAGGCATCCATTCTTAGAACACCTTAGGGGACAGAGAAGAGAAAAGAAAAGCTAGAAGTCAGAGTCTGGTCTCCTGGCAAAGCAGAACCCAACAAGCTTCATTCCTTTGTGGCTACCTTGCTGAGTGAGATCCACATCTGCTGTAGTGTGCTCCCTCCCTCTTGCATGAGCTCCTCAGATGTTGGTTTTATGATCCAGAGGATTACTCAGGGCTTTTCCTTAGTGACGTTTTTCAATAATGCTAATTTCAATAGTGCTTGCTTTCTCCTGCTCTGAACTGCAAACCCATGTTTCCTATATTTCATTTCTCTCTGGAATGTAATCTGTAGCATTTGTTTCAAAGGTATCTTCCTTGTGACATCACTCCTTTTCCCTTTGACTCCATCTCAGTAGTGTTCCTCTATATTCTTACTAGCACCAGTATAAGGAATAGAAGTGCATTTCTGTCATAGATTCAAAAGTCTAAAACTCATTTGGATTTCAAAAGATTGGTATTCAGTCAAAGGGCTGAGAATGTGTAACTTTTGAGTACTTGGCCCTAAAAAGGGAGCATTTATAGTAACCTCCAGGGCTTAGGGAACATTGCAGAAGATGGGTAGGAAGATGAGAAATGCTGTGGAACACCATCTTTTGGACATGATATGGTCATTACCCACACGAACCCACAGTAGCTATGGCTACCCAAACACCTTGTGCAAAATCAAGCCCTGTTAATGTTTCCACATGGAGGAGTTCATGAGGCCCCACCTTTAACTGAAGAGCTATTGGTTGTTATTGGCTACTGGGGAAGGGGGATTCTTTTTTTCTTAAGAGTGTATGACCATTGGTAGATTGTCTATGCTCAGGTTGACAGCCCCATGCCCATTTATTAATACATTAATACATTAATACATTGAGGTAGCACCAATATGACCAGTAGGTCATATTTTTTAATAGGAATGTAAGATAGGAGGAGGATGTGTTTAGTGTTGGAGGCAGCGTGTCCAGGGGAAATGGAAAGAGAATTAGGAGTAGATATGATTAAGATACATTGTATTCACATATGAAATTGTTTAAAAAACTAAGAATATTCTTTAAAACAATTTTGGTGCTTGGCATCTCTGTTCTGAATATATGTATGTATGTATGTGCGTATGTATGTATGTATTTTTTCCCCATGTCTGCTTGCATCACCTCATTGCCAATGCTGTGGAAGTTGTGCAGACAGGTGCATTTCTCATGATCTGAGCATCCACAAAGGGTTGAATTATACAGTTTTTTCCACATGCTATGCCAAAGAACCAATTTCTCACTTAAGTAACTTTCCTATGTTTCCCTAGCTCTTTTCCATTTGCCTTCCGAAAAGGAAATTAGCATCCAATTCAAACATAATTAAAATATAAATTAGCCAATGATGATAACTGAAGAATGAATCAATCACCCTGTGATGGGGCTGTGCTTCATCTTATAGATTGTTCCAGCCAGCCTTCACTAGACTTCACACAGCACTTTCAAAAATAGAAGTTCAATTTAAAATGCAATGTAAATGCTCCTCTAAATCAATTTGTCTTTTCTGTTGGAGCTCAGCTCAAAGGCATCCAACTTTCCACAGCGGTCTACAGAAGGCCTGCTTCTGGATAACATTCATGTGGAAACAGAACCAGAGCCACCATGCCAGAGGGCAAAGTTCACTGGTGACGACTCAACTCAGCTACTTAAAGGTACAAGCCATTTGTAAATACCTAACAAAATTGCCAAGTCGGCTTCAGAAATGCACGAGTAGAATTCTTTCTTCCCTAATTGTTGCCTCTCCAAATCTGACTTTAGCTGGATTTCTCTGGCAAGCAACTGAGCCGCAGACAAGAAACTGATTTAGCATCCAATGATTGGGATGAAGTTCCCTGGCAATGTCAGAGTGCTTACACCCCCAGTGTATGATTTTTCAAATTATGAGACAGCAATAAATCTCAGGAAACAGAGAAGCCTTGTTCAGTCCACCTTGGAGAAGCCCATGTTATTGTGCATAAGGCAGAATTCCTGCACTGCACTGAGAACCTCACTGTAACAAAATGTCAGCTGAGTCAACTTGGTTTGATCTGTAGGAAGCCATTAATAGGTCAGGCACTAGCAGGTTGCTACAGCAACTGAAACAAAGGAAATCCTGAAAAGGCATGGTTTCCATAGCTAGAAAACACTCAAAATTCAAAAACAGAACTGTACTATTCCCAAACTGATACATCCATTCATTTGTGGTGAATCTCTGAAAGTCAAGCATTATTCACTTAGATTTATCAAAGTAGGTTCCCCCCTCTCTCAAGTCCCAACAGCAACTACTAAGGTTTCTATCCAGACATAAAGTACATTTGCATGCACAGCAGCATTTTAGTAATTACATTAAGCCTATCTACTCTAATGACAACAACGGCAGTTGGGGACAATATAAATCAAACTTAATGGCTTCTGTTCAGATTCCTCTGAAGTCTGGATCTGAAATAGCAATAAACTCTGCCTTTGTGATTCTATCACACAGCAGTCCTAAGCCAACCATGAACTTCCCCAGTGCCAGTGCTAATAAATCTCTCTTCCAGAGACAGGGGGAATTTTCAGATCATCGGCTGTGTTTCAAAAGGAGAAAGCACTAGGGAAGAAATTCAGGTTAGGGATGGTTCCATACAAAGTATTCTAAAAAGAATAAGGCAGAACTTTGGTTCTTTGACTTGAAAGCCACATGTTTTCAAGATAACTGCAAAAAAATTTAACCTACAGAAAGCTCTTGCTGGTTGACTTCAGGCCCTGGATAGACGAAGCATTCCTTCAAGGTCTGCTCTTACCACCTCCTCTCCCAGGAGCAAACCAGATTAGAAAAACAGCAGCCCTCAAAAGCATTTGCCTGGCTCTGCTTTTGGCTTTCCACTCCCCACATTCACCATCATATCCTATTCCTGTATATGGTATGTAGATTTGGCTGAGTTGGTATAATAAAACAAAATGGAATAAGCAGGGGCAAAAATCCTCTATTATTTTAATTTAGCCACAACTCCACTTCCACAGACTCATTAAGTTTGCCACACATAAGGCAATGGAATAAGAGTGTTCATAAAAGAAGGAGGACAACACCTTTGTAATCTTCATGATAGGCCAAAGGTTCTACTATAAAGTGAAAAAGAAGTCTTTGATCAACACAATTTAGTTTCAGAATCACCACATTTTTAAGGTAGGTCACAAACTATTTAGCTTTCTTCCTTCTCAATAAATAAGAAACAATGTTTTTTTCATTTATTTTGCTTCTTATGCATCTTCCTCAGAAACAGTTTCTCATCAAATGCATGTAGATGTGTGTGTGTGTGTGTGTGTGTGTGTGTGTATGTGTGTGCTTACATTCACACATGCAGATAATGTGCCAATTGCTCTATACCATTTATATAAAGTTATAAATTTATAAATAATTATACTACCCATCTAACCTAGAGAAATTACAGGCCAAGAAAATGTTTGCTGAAGGTTAAAAGGTTTATTTTGGCTAGGTGAGATTTCTAGTGCATTATTCTTGTTGAAACATATTATAATTTTTTTAATCTAGAAAGATGGGGAGGGGGCTAGAGAGATAGCTAAGCATTAAGAACACTGGCTGCTCTTTCCAGAGGACCCAGGTTCAATTCCCAGCACCCACATGACAGCTCACAACTGTCTGGAACTCCTTTTCCAGGGGAATTCAACACCCTCACACAGACATAATATGCAGGCAAAACACCAATGTACATAAAAATACAAATAAATTATTTTTAAAAGAAAGAAAGATGGCATAAAGGGCTCTGAAATACCATTTCTTAGACTGGATATAACTACTGTAAACATTTATACCAACTGTAGTTACCTCCACTAGTCCGTTATAAGACTAGCCCTATCAACATTTAATCAAGGAAGGGGAAGGCCTCTGAAATGTTGGCTAATGACAGATCTGGGAAAGGGGGGATCACTGTCTTCAGTTGTGTGTGCCCACTACTAATCCACAAAGATCTAAGAGGTATCTCCAAACCTACAGTCACACAGACAGGTTAATCTCAATGGATCACAAAACAAAACAAAAAGACAACAATGTGAAAGAGTTGTGGGGATCTGAGAGGGTGAACTGAGTGGTCAGTATGCAAGCAGGTATCCATGAAAGTGTAAAACTAAATGAGTGATAGAAACTAAAGTTAATGAAGAAGGTTTTGACTGAGTATGAATGGTTTTTAAAATCCAGGACATGCAGATGAGTATCAGATTAGAGACGTACTACCAAAGGGGAAAGTATCATTTCCAGGAATCTCCCTATACAGAAGCAATGTTAACAAATAGAATCTATACCTAGTCTGTAAAAATTAAAACTTCCAAGTTTACACTTTAAAAACTACCCTCTGAATCACCTATGCTTGGATCTAAGCAGAGCATGTGGAGAAGAGAATGTCAAAAAGTCGGAGAAGAACAGACTTCTCAAGCACTTCGACTGCTCTTCCCGAGGCAAAGGCCATGTGCTGCTATTGATTGGGGTATGTTGCCGTGGTTGAGGTAATTTCCATGTCTGCCTCTTGTTTTGGAGGTTTTTATGCAGTCAATCTATAGCTTTGAACTATTGAAGATTTACTTGCAGGCATCATGTCTGAAGTTGCTAAGTTATTTTATATCTAATATTTTACAGTTCAAAAGGATTTTGCCAGCCTTCTCCCCGTTGAGCTCCCTAGTCACCCTAGAAGGAAGAAAGGGAAAGGACTATCCCTCTGTAAGAGGCAAACTGACACTGAAGGAGGGAACAAAGGATTCCCTGCAGGTCACACAGATAAGTGACATAGCCAGTGTTCTGGTAATCAGTTACTTTTGTTTTGTTTTGTTTTCGAGACAGGGTTTCTCTATGTAGCTTTGGAGCCTGTCCTAGAACTCGCTCTGTAGACTAGGCTGGTCTCGAACTCACAGAGATCCGCCTGCCTCTGCCTCCTGAGTGCTGAGATTAAAGGCATGTGCCACCAATGCCTGGAATCAGTACTTTACTTTATTACTGGTATTTACTATTTTATTTAAAACCTCTGCCAAGAATGGATTCTATTGATTATTGGGATTAGACACTTGATTGCTAGCATTTAATCTTTTCTTATTTGTTTTCAATTCTTGACCAAAACATTTTTTTTACAATCCAAACTAGCTCTCACAGGCCTTGCCACTGCCAGTTACAGCACCTACACACTAGAAACTCCTGGATCCAACTAAGGTTGGGTACTTTGCCCAACTCCACTGTTTTGCTTTATTGTTTTGCACTCATCATGTACTTCAGATTAACTTTTTGCTAATTATCGATTCACAAATGTAGAATATAGTGATAAAATATTATAAACATAGGAGCCTATAGTATAGTGTCATATTCCTTAAGCAATTATGAATGCTTTACCAGAAGGGCATAACTAAAGTCAGAGAGTAGCTCCCATACAGACCTAGAGAATGGAGCCATGACCATAAGCCCTCTGAAAGCTCCTCAAATGTACATGTTTCCCAAGTCCCTTCCCTTGAATATTGCCATTTTATTCATTGCATCAGCCCACAGTTTTATATCAGCTCCTTGTACTCTCTCGACCTATGTATAATAGGCCATTTTATAGTATTCATTTTAAATACACATTCCATTAAGGAAAAAAAATACCATATTCAAGATTTCATTCCCTAGAAGCCCTTCCAGTTTCTTCATGCTGAATTACACACAGGCTCAAGATTTGCCAGGACACAGGACATTAATTACCTTCAAGTGTTGTTCCTTTACCAGAAAGGGCTTCTCCAGCCCCAGATGCATACAGTGCTGTCACAGATAAGTCGTATTGTGTCCCTTCCTTCAATCGCCTCAACACCGTGTTGGTTGTATCTCCGTCCACAGTAACCTCTTGAGTTTCACCTCCTGCTGCTGGTGTGTACGTGACAAGATACTGCTTCACTTTTCCTGGTGCCCCACTCCAAGACAACTTTAGAGTTGATGTCGTAGCGTCAGAAACTCTTAAGTCTCTTGGATTCCCTCTAACTTCATTTAAAAAAAGATGACAGTATCAAAAGTCATTACTTAGTAAAAATGACTTGAAAACACCGATTTTTTATATGTGTGTTATATTCAAATTTACATCCTATGTAATGACTATATATACAGCTCACTAATAACATATAAGCATTGCTAAATAGGATCCTACACAATAGTAAACAATGAGCAAACAACATCCAGTTCCTTTTCTGTGTTTATGCAAATTAAAATCTTCCATAAAAGCCAGACACATTAGCACACTCCTGCAATCTCAGCACTTAGGAGGATAAGATAGAAAGATCACAGGTTTGAGGATAGCCTGGGCTACATACATGCCTCAAAGGGGGAAAAAATGTGTAAAATCTGTCATTAGAATCTTCCACATCAAATATTTTCCTTAAAGCTTTCCTACAAATGGAACTAGGTAATGAGTGTTGTTTCCAGGTGATCAGTATGTTTCCTTTACCTTCTTCAGTGGCTGCATTTCCTGTCAGTGGAGAGCCAGGTCCAGAGGAATATTCAGGAATTACAGATATTTCATACTTTGTGTCTGGTGTCAGGTTCTCCAGTGTTTTCCTCCTCTGATTGGCTGGGGTACTGACTTCTTTGCTTTCTCCACCAGAAACTGGTCTGTATATGATTCGATACCTTAAGACTCTCCCTGGAGCCTGAGACCAGGTAATTTTAAAACTGTCTGTAGTCTCATCTGTCACCTTCAGGTTTCGTGGTACTCCTTTTACTGAAATTAAAAAATGCATATTTTTTAAAAGCTAGCTGATTTTGTGTGAATACAAAAAAGCTAGCCTTTGAACATTAATTATAGTATTTTTCAAACTAAATTCCAAGATCAGTTTTATTTACAAGCATTCTGGTTACAACATTCATTTAGCCAGATTCTGAAACCATTTTGCAAATAATTTCTTATTTGTATGGTCATTTACTATAGAGGAAAAACTGTACTATAGAGGAAAAAACTTATCAGAAGAATGTGATAAGCACATATTGAATATCATTAAATATAAATCTCAAAGTTGAATTGCAATGTGAATCCCACAGACTTAGGGTCATCAATTAAATTTTCCAGTAAGAAGCCAAATGAGAACATCATTGGACTTTATGTTTGCTAAACATGCTCAAGAAGAAAGACTGTCCATATGGACAACACATTCAATAATGATGAGCTCAAAGTCATCATGTTCTCAATTCACTGGGGTGAAACAGTAGTGTAATGTGGTTGTATGTGACCAACAAACAGTATTAGAAGTTTACTTAAAGTGTCAGCACATCATGGGGCTAGAGAGATGGCTCAGTGGTTGAAAGTATGGCTGCTTCTGGCTCCAGAGGACCCAGATTGGGTCCCACTACCCACATTGCCACTCACAACTATCTGTTGTTCCAGTTTCAAGGTATCCAACACCCTCGTCTGGCCTCTGAGGGCACTGCACACACATGGTACACATATATGCAGGAAATACACCCAAATTCATAAGAGTAAAATGAATAAATCAAAGTTTGAAAAAATCAATACACAAATCACTCAAGACAGTAAAAAGAAAGAAAAAATCCATAAGTAAGAGAAATGTGTAGGGTGGGTGATTGCATAGCTTAATCCCAGCACTCAGAAGGCAGAAGCAAGTGGATCTCTGTCAGTTAAAGGCCAGTTTGGTGTGTATAGCCAGTTCCAGGCCAGCCAGGGCAAAATAGTGAGACCCTGACCCTCCCCTAAAAAATAAAGGAAAGAAAGAGAAAGAAGAAAGGAAGGAAGGAAGGGAGAGAGGGAGGAAGGGAAGAAGTTCTAGTTGGCAAACTTTACCTATGACTCATTAAGCACATCAAGAAAAAAAATCAAATTAGTCAAAACAAAGCAGAATGACTAATAGCTGTGAATCCTGGCTTAATGGATGTATAATTTTAGCCGTAGATTGTTCAGCAGCTAAACATAACTACTTGTTAGATTATTGCAGTGCCTGGATAAGATAATCCATGGGAAATATTTAGAATAGCATATGATACCTAGTAAGAGCTCAAAAACCACCAGCTTAATTAAGCTGTTAAATGTTAAAACTTGACTATTTACAAACAAAACTTTAAATTTTGAAATTTAGTGAAAAGCAGTAAAGCTGATAGGTATCAAGCTCTTCTATGGCAGCCCAATATCTAAAAACTTAAGTACATATGAATACATTGGGCTCAACTCAAAACTTCCTTCCCTTCTTCTTTTTTTGAGAGAGAAAATGGGAATATAGTACATTTATTTTTATGAAAAAAAAAGTTGTAATAAAAAGATCTCTGTAAGTAACATTACAGGGGAAAACAGTTCCCATGGCCAAAAGCAAACAATATTAATATATTTGCAAGCAAGGTAGTTTTTCAGCCTATTAAAAGAATGAAAATAAAAGCAAGTACAGATAACACAACTGTTTTTTAATAAAGTGTTTCATTTCAAGAATAGTGTCCTAAAATGACTAATAGTCATATGTGCCTTCTACCTCTTTCTACAGAAAATTTGTACTTGTTCTCTTCTTCTTAAAGAGAGGCCTCAAATAAAGCCACTCAGCATGGCAGCCCCTCAAACCTTAGTGTTCTGGAAGATTGTGAAACCATCAGTACAAACAGTGTGTCTATTTGTACCAGGAGATTTTGAAGTAAATAGGAGAATGAAATTCAGCAACTAGGCAGACTGCTTCACCTTCCGTTTTTAAAGACTCAAGTTTTTTCTTGAGCTGTGGTAAGCAGTGTAAGCAATCAACAAAAAAGCAGAAACATCTTTAGTACAAATATCTAAGTTATAGAAACACTCACAAAAAGATGTGTTAGATACTTTAATTTGCCTACAGTCATAACTATATACAAAAAAAAAGTCAATCTTCCTTGAAAAATGTTTTAGAGACAAAGATATTCCCTAATGTGCACAGGATCTATCTGCAAGTACATCTCTCTACATCTTAAATTCTCATGATGCCTTTTGGATTCTTTCCCTCCCACCCAGTCAAAACAGGGAAGGGAATCCACATCTCTTAGAATAATCACTGTCTCCATGTGAAGAGTACTTGACAAAATTTTTTTCTTGGCCAGACTAAATATCAAATGAAATTAATTATGCCAAAAGGTATTCCGCTCTAAACAGTAAAGATGACACATATCAAACAGCAGTAGAATTAATCCACTCAGGTCCCAGCAGCATTATTCACAATGGTTAAAAGTGGGAGCAACCTGAATAGATGAATAAACAGAACATGGTATATTCGTTCAATGAGATAACGTTCACCCTTAAAAAGAAATGAAATTCTGCCCAAGCATGGCAACCCAATCACTCAGGAGTCAGAGGCAGGCAGATCTCTGTGTGTTCAAATTTAGGCAACTTTAAACAGCAAATTAAGGTCAACCAAGGCTACGCAGTGAGACCCTGTCTCAATAAATAAATAAATAAACTCTGATATAGGCTGCAACATGGATGAGGAACTACAGTTGGTGGAAGAAGTCCAACAAAGGGACAAACATCACATGATTACATTGGGTAAGGGCTTAAAATAATCAAAGAAACATAAAGTAGGACGACAGTCCAGGAGCAGGGCATTGGGAAATGGAGAACCACTGCAGTTCTGGTTACACACATTCTGCACATGGATGGAAGTGATGTAGTCTGTACAAGGTCAAAATACTTCATGCAGTTGAAATGTGCACCTAAAGATGGTTGGAATGGCTGAATGGGGTTTGTTTGTTTTCATTTTATTAACATGTACTAAAAGCAGGTGGTTTACTCATGCTATAACTTGGCCATCTAGTGAATTACAAGGTTTTGGGAAAACGTGAAAGAAACCCACTGTACCTTCAGCTGTGGTCTCCTCTCCAGCTACGGGAATACTGAAGCCATCTTCATACTCTGCAGTCACATTTACCAAGTACAGGGTCTCTGGTTTCAGGTTGCTGAGAACAACACTGGTGCTCGAAGCTGGCTCCACCACTGTGACCTCATCATTCCCAGTAGCATCTTTGTATGTGACATGATAGGAAAAAACATTTTCTCCAGCAGGAGACCATTCGGCTTTGAAACTATTAGAAGTCACCTGAGTAAACCTCAGATCCTTCGGTGGCACATAAGCTGTTTAAAAACAAAACAATAAGTTTAAATTTTTTATGTCTATGAAATAAAAATAGACTTCTTGACTCTGTGCTTCTGAAAATGTTGATATTCATTCAGGAGGAGAGTCATTGAGACCCAAGCACGTGACCACTGAGAAAAGGCCTCCTTCTTAAGAGGAAGTCCAGGTCATTCCCTTTGGTTATCCAAAACAGTGATTATATTATACAAAGGAAGCAATTAATTGAAATGGAACTTGAATTCTGAGCTTCTCAAGACAAAGCAGTAATAGAATAAATGTCCCCCCACACGTGTGTATTTAAACAGTAGCAGGTTTTAAATGAACCATGACAACTTTCCCAATCATCCTGGTACTTGAATATTAACCCTTAGTGACAGGTAGGCAGATATTTCAAAGTAAAGCTAAGGAATTTTCTGGCAAATGAATAATGATAATAACTGGGAAGGTGCCTCGGTGGGGAAAGCACTTGCCATGCAAGTGTGAGGATACTGAACTTGAACCCCCCAAATCCACCTAGAGCTGGGTGCAATGTGGTTCCTCTCTAAGCCCAGTGCTTCCACAGCAAGAAGAGAGGCTGGAATAAGAGAGCTCAGCCTGACATACACAGCAGTGAACAGACTCTCTTGAAGAAGGTGGAAGTCAAGGACACACACACACACACACACACACACACACACACACACACACACACACACATAAATATACAAGAGAAAGATTTCTTAAAGAATCCTTATTAAACTGATCATGCATTAAACTGGTCATAAGAAGAGACAATGCTTGTTCAGGTCAGCTGTTTCCATGGGTTTCACCAGCCTGGTCTGGACCCCTTTGCTCATCAGTCCTCCTTCTCTGCATCTGGATTTCAGTTCAGTTCAAGGTTTAGCTGTGGGTGTCTGCTTCTATTTCCACCAGCTGATGGATGAAGGGTAGAGAGTGATAGCTAGGAAACCAGCATGGGACTGATCCAGACCCCCTGAATGTGGGTGTCAGTTAGGAGACCTTGGAAATCTACGGGGCTTCTTCAGTATTTATTGCTACCATAGAAATGGACTTTAGGAGCCCATCCCACATGAGGGCATACTCTCTGAGCCTAGACACAAGGGAGCTGGTCTAGGCCCTATCCCAAAGAATATAACAGACTTTGAAGACCCCCCTATGGAAGGCCTCACCCTTCCTAGAGAGCAGAAAGGTTATGGGAAGGGTAGGGCATTAGTTGGCGGGGCAGGGTAAGAGGGGAGGGAGAGGAACCTGAGACTGACATGTAAAATAATTTTCTTTCTAATAAAAAAAAAGAAAAAAAAAAGAAGAGACAATGCTTAATGCACATTGTCCTTGGGGGACATATAAGCAGGAAAGATAAAAAAAAAAAAGTATAAAGTTACTTACAAAAAAAGCCAAGTGTGTAAAAGTGGCATATACTAGAAAACTTAAGGAAGGTTTAGAAAGGGGGTTTAAACACTGGAAAGCAGAATTTAAACAAATCAAAAAGAAAACCTAGAGAACTCCCAGTGTGAGGTATCATGCCCCAAACAAGGAAAGAGAATGCACAGAAGGGCTGTTTTAGTTGATTTGGGTTCAAAGGACCTGGAGCTATAGCTACACGGTAGAAACTCAGTAAGTGGTTGTGTAATGGGCTATGACCAATAGTTTAATGGAGCTAGGTCCTGAACTCCCCCAGGGATCTAGGGAGGGAAATCTCTTGACTCTTTAAGTAAACAAATTTCTTCACCAATAATGAAATGATATGCATACCCAGGAGAAAGTTATGTGTCAGACCCAAATACACTAAGTTCGATGGTTTTCAATAGCAATGGGAGGTTTCCAATGAATCAATGAAGACTCCTTCCTACCCATAGTTTTAGAATTGGGAAGCTTTGTTCACAGGGAAATAACTTTTACTTTCCAAAATCTACCAACCTTTCTTCTTTATAGCTGCCAACTCTTGCTCAATTCTAAGACAGATAGACTGGGTGAGTTCAAACGATATCCTCTGAAAGGCATCAAAATCCTCCACTGTGAACACATGGGTCTCTGGAGGAGGAGAGGCAATGGCTTCCAACTCAGAGCGAACAGCATCCTTCACGCCTACTGCGAAGATCTCCACATCCGAATTTCTGAGTTTTATAGCAGGGTCTCTGAAAGCATCCGATGACTTCCCATCAGTGATGAGAATCATGACCTTCGGGACATTACTTCTTGATCCTTTGTTAGGCACAAATATTTTCTCTCTGACATAAGTCATTGCTTTGCCTGTGTTTGTGGATCCTCCCCTGTAGGGGAAGGTGTTTATTGCTTTGATTATATCTTCAACTCTGTTAAATTCCTTCAATGTGAACTCAGTGTGAGGGTCTCTGCTGTATTGGACCAGGCTTATCTGTACCCTGTTTGGTGAGATCTCAAAACTTTTTGCAAGAACTTCCAAAAAGGCTCTAACTTTAACGAAGTTTGCAATCCCGATGCTATAGGAACCATCAACCAAAAACACGATATCAGCTTTTATATCCACACCACGTGAACATTCTGTGAAGAGAAAGAAAAATCCATTCATAAAAAAATATGAACTAAAATATAATAAAATTAAGATATCGATATCTCAGTGTCTTTGTAAGTCTACTTCTTAAAAAGCAACAAAAACAAACAAACAAACAAAAAACTAATGCAGGGCTGGAGAGGCAGCTCGGTGCATCAAGGGCTTCCTGAGCAAGCATGAGGACCTGAGTTTGTATCCTAGACACCCACCTAAGAACCAAGTGTAATGAAACGCTGCGGGTATGGAGACAGGCAAGTGCGGGGCTTGCTAATCAGCCAGTCTAGGCTAAACAACAAGCTCCAGGTTCCAGAAAAGACCCCATTCATCACAAAAATAAACAAATAAATGGAGTCAAAACTACTGCAAATACTGTGTTTAAAATGAAGTCTGGGCGGGGCGGTGGTGGCGCACGCCTTTAATCCCAGCACTGGGGAGGCAGAGGCAGGCGGATCTCTGTGAGTTCGAGACCACCCTGGTCGACAGAGCGAGTTTCAGGCTCCAAAGCTACACAGAAAAGCCCTGTCTCGGAAAAAAAAAAAAAAAATGAAGTGTGAACTAGTAGGCCTTAATGTTGTATTCCAAATGGCTAACTTACCCACTTGAACTTTCATTGGCTGAGTCTTCTCCATTACTGAAATGGGCTCACTGGATGTCAGTCCCTTCATGGCAGAAACACTGATCTGGTATTCCGTGTCAGCTGAGAGATCACGAACATTGAGCGTGGTCGTCTGAGGCCCCACACTCAAAGCGTGATGTCGGCCTCCTGCGGCCATTGGTGTGAGGAGGATTTTATAGCCGGTCACAGCGCTGGGAGACGGATCCCAGCGCAGCTTAATGTACTTTGATGAGACATCTGTGGCAACCAGATTTGAGGGAGGTTCGATGACTGAAACAAAAATCAAACAAAGAAAAATGTGGTGATTAACAATCAAGAGCATCTCTGTGAGGTTTTACAATGGGACCTGCAAGTCTCCTTATTCAAATGGATGATGTCTATGTCAGAAAGTGTTCTATGTTACCCTCTCTCCCTGATTCCAACTGTATGAACAAACCAACCAATTCCTACTGACAGGATTCCAGTTAGGACACTAAAAAGTTTGGTGGGGAAGAAAATTTTTGAAATAAACTAATGTTCCTATCAATGTTATCACTCTTTCATGTTCTGGAACGCTAAAGTAAGTGTCTGAAAGCTGCCAATGTTTAGGCCTGCATATAAAATAATTAAAGCAAATACCAGAAAAGCCTGATTAGGGTAGACAACATACACGAAAAGACTTTGTTTTTTTTTATAAAAGTCTAATCAATGGAGGAGGGGAATCTCATGAGGCCCCACCCCTAGACAAAGAACTAGAGGCGATTAAGGGATGCTGAAAATGAGAGATGTAGCTTTTACTAGAGGTGAGCCCCCTAACTGTTTATCCAATGCCAAGTGGATGCTTGAAATCATATACATACTGGTAACACTAACATATTCAGCATAATTAAACAGTCTGTATTAATATATCTATGCCTTCACACACACACACACACACACACACACACACACACACACACACACTAGCAAAGAAAAATAACCCATAATTTGAAGGGAAGCAAGGAGGAAAGTGGGGGGGTTGGAGGAAGGAAAAAGAAGGCAGAAGTTATATCATTATATTTTAATTTTTAATTAAAGTTAAAAGTATTAGATAAACTAAGTCTAATAAAAACTGGCCTCTCCCCAAAAAATGTCCACAAGCTTCACAGAAGACTAAATATTTTGCCAAACTTTCCACTGGAGGGTGGAAATAATACCAATATATTAACAAGTTGAGTTCACAAACTGGACAATCACTGGAGGGTGTGGTTCAGATATATCGATTCTGGAATACTTGTAAAGCTAGTGTCTACACACCCTCAACAAGCAAGCACTCACCTTCTTCTCCACTAACCAGTTCACCAAGTTGCTCATCAACTCCTGAACACACCTGGGAGATTATCTCATTTTGAATGTCCACAATTGCATCAAAATTGGCCACATTGAAAACATGGTTCAAGGAAGGTGTGGATGCAATTTGTTTGAGTTCTTTTGCATCTGCAGCTTTAATACCTTGAAAACAAAAGGGTGGGAATATGTTAAAATGGGAAACATACCAACTTCAAGAAGTCCTTTGCAGTAATTCCAATTCTCAAACTGAAGATATTTTTTAACCCTTTTTAAGTCAAAATCCAGAGCTGCTTTGACAACTGCCTTTAATCCCAACACACTCAAGGCAGAGGCCAGAAGAGTTCTGTGAGTTCAAGGACAGCCAGACCTACTTAGTGAGGCCTGTCTCAAATAGATAGATGACAAGTGACAGAGAGATGGCGAACAAATGTTCAATGACAAAGGATTTTATAATTCCACACAAAGTGACCAGCTAAAGAGAAAAACAAATGGTTAATAGAAAGAGCCCCCATTTCAATCATGTCATCACTTGTCTCTGACATCTGTAAAGACAATATTTTTTTATTCCAAAGTGCTGAATGAGCTGGAGCCCTGTGAATGCTTCAAGTATTATGTAATGTAGAAAATGCAGAAAATCCACTTAATGATAATACAAGGAGGATCTTTATTAGAATCGCTGGCAGAGTGTTCTGTGAAAAGTAGAGAGCTGGCAAAGCATGCTCATAGCACCTCACTTAGTCCATATGCTACAAGAGTTTTACAAGGAAATAGATAAGCAGAAGTTTTACTCAAAGGCAGCTTGGCTTAATACTATCCTATAAACTCGGTAAGCACTTTTGACAACATCCTTCCTTGAGGAATCAACCTTTATCTTCTTAAGCTTCAGTAAGTGTACTGAAGGAGATCTAGAGAGAAAATGGCTGGTCAGACTTAACCTACCCAGAGAGAAAACCTCAACTCCAATATTCCGAAGCTCCCGAGCTGGAATATCCACTTCGTCCTGAGATTTGCCATCCGTGATAATAATTGCCACTTTAGGAAAGCCAGCTCTTGAGCCAGCAGATTCAGTGAAAGTGTTTTTAACCAAGTAATCAATGGCATCCCCTGGAGGGAAAAAAGAAACATTTTCATTTACTCCAGGTTCTCACGCATTTTGCCAAAGTTAAAGGCTAAGAGTTAATTCCAGAGGTACTTACTATATAATCAAATGGTTTTTTTTTTAATTCCTTCTCAAAATAGACACTTCATTTATTGTAAACAATAAAGGAATCTCTAAAACAGACCTGTCATTGTGTTGCCACCTTTGTAAGGTATTTTCTTAATTGCAGCAAGCAGGTCATCTCTTCGGTAATACTGATTTAAGTTAAATTCAGTCCTGGTATCTGTGCTGTACTGAACAACTCCAACTCTTGTCTTCTCCTCCCCAATGTCAAAAGCAGACACAAGAGCAGCAATGAAGTCTAAAATGTACTTGAAATTATTTCTTCCCACACTCCAGGAGCCATCCACAAGAAAGACTAAATCAGTCCAGGCACTGACCGAGCACTCTGAAACACATTTAAGATATTTTTAAATGACTAAGTCAGTCCACCTTTAAAAACAACATGGGCTAACATGGTAAAAATGTTCCTGAATCATTCTATACCTTATAATGCCTGGACCCATTATTTTCCATTTACACACGTAAGAGAACATAAAATCTTATAACACTGAAGCAGTTTCAATGCACTTATCAAGATCCACTTACGGGATTGGATGCCTATAAATTGCTAGGTGAGACATTCTGTGCAGAGAAATAACTAGGTATGTGATATATACTGCCCAGGAGAATACAGCCCACCCGCATGCACTGGTAGCCTGTTTTTCTAAACTATATCTTTACTCTTCCGCAAATGAAGATTCCATAAAACATCTGGGAGACTCGCAAGAGAAACACCAATAGAGTCTCCTCCTGCCTTGTTATTAATCAACATATAAACACAATCTGTGCTTTTCAGGCAGATGAGTCTGAGTAGAAGAAAAGAGCAAATATTTTAATAGTCTGTCATATTTTCCAATGTAAATAAATGTCTAAGTTTATAGTCAAGGTAAGTCTATGTATATAGTCATGCAAAGTAGCCAAAAATATCTTGTCTTCATTATCTCTGTATCCAAATTTGACAACTAAGACTTCCATTGCTAAACAAAAAGAGGAAATATTGTTAATGCAAAAGTCCAAATGGCCATATGGTACCCTTAAGGAATTAAAATGCTGTGTGCTTTCATAACTGCTCATTCTCCTCCCTCTTCTGTGATCAAGGAGGCAAGTTGGTTTTCATGAAAATCTGTATTTGCAAAGCAAAATTTAGTGGATTTCTGAAGATGTTTTTGTCCTTGAAGTCAGTTGGTAGATAATAAAAGAAGTATTTTGGCAAGGAGGAGCAGGAAAAGGACCTGGAAAATTGTGCAAGACAACTTTGAGTTGCATGCTTAAATAAATTTGTATGCTGTTTAATAGGGCAATTTTAGCCTATTAAAACCCATATCTGGCAGAATATTTTGATTTAGAATAAATATTGATAGTTTGGAGAAAATATTAATCTAACTGCATAAGAGAAACTTCATCTTAGATTATTGGACATCTGAGAGAATGATAAACAGTGATCTAGAGAAAATTTTTCCAGAGAAAGAGGCCTTTGTGTTTATAATGTTTTTATGATCAATCTGGGTCATAAATCCAACTTACAAAGTGGCATAATCAGAAGTCCAAGAAACTCCTTAGGAGTTCACTCTAGCAAGCCACACAAAGCGGTGTCAGACACAAGGAGACTAACAGCCTCCAAGTTGAGACTAAATAAAAGTGCTTTTCATCTGGTTACAAATTCAATTTCTTAGAGATGGGCTGCAGGAACTCTGGAAAGGTTGGGAAAGCTGACATCATCAGCCAAGTTGTCAGAAATATCCCAGGGATGAGCTCAATATACAAGTAGACTAAAGTGTGTTTCACAGCAGTTGAGTTGCTTCAAGCACTAAGACCATCTCAGTCTTTACCCATATATCTGCAAGCACCATCTGTTGCTATAATTTGTCTTAGGAGAATATATTAGCCAGAAGGTCAGAACTCAAGTTTTGTAAATATTTAGTTACCTATTTCTCTCACCTCCCTAAACTCCTCCTAAGAAAGCTTATAGCTATTGGTATAGGGAAGATGATCAAGCTTTGTTTATAATTAGAACATCTACTACAGTATATTCCTAACTTATACAAATCCAAGCCAAAAATATATATATATAGGAAGAAACTCACTTTGTATCTCTGGTTTTCCAGGTTTCTTCTCCCCTGGTTTTGTTGGACCACCTGTTTGAACTGAGTCAAAAGCTCATCATTAACAAAAGAAATTACCAAATATATGCATGTATATATATATACATTATATATATAATAAAAATAGAACACAAACATTGTTCTTTAATATTTTGTTTCATGTATTTGATCTTGCCCAGCTTGTCAGAATGTCAAGCAATGATTTCCTTACAAATAAATTATTTTAATGAAATGTTAGAAGTATTTCAAAAAGACTTTACATTATTGCTTGAAAATTCTGATGTTTCAAATAATTTTCATTGGAACACTTCTGCCATTTCCAGAGACCAAGGTTAAAAGGCACAAATGAATTGTTCATAAGCGCTAATAACAAGGATTATAGAAAGTGGTGCTGATGTTACCTACATAATGAGAGATTGAAGGTGGAAAATTGTTGGCAAAATGCATATACACGTGTCTTTGTGACAGTGATAGTCAAAGAAAAAGAGGCTATCAATTTGAAAGTGGGGAAGACATGGAAAATGTTGGAGAAAGGGACTGGGCGGGGGCTGGAGGGATAAAAGGGAAGGAAGAAAGTGATGTAATATTATTAAAGCATTTAAGCTTGTATGTGTTCTTACTTGTCAGCTGCCCTATAACTGGCACACTTTCTTCTACTTCATCATAGGAAGTTATAGTCACCACATAGTCCGTTTCAGGAATGAGGTCTGATAATAGAGTTTCAGTGGTACCAGCTGCAAGGGTAAATTCTTTAGTAGGTCCCTCTGTAAATGCAAGAAGAAAAATATGAATGCAAGAAAAACTTTCCCAAGAATAACACATTACAAAAAGTCTAAATGTACCCCAAAACTGAAACTTTTACCATATGTACTTTTTCAAGACATCCAAACATTGTTTTTTTTTATTATTATTGTTTTCCATAAAGAAGACCTTGCATTTTTAGAACACCCAATGTTTACAATGATCTTGCCTTTATCTGACAATCACATTCAATACATTTATTTTTTTTGGTTTTTTGGGACAGGGTTTCTCTGTATTGCTTTGGAACCTGTCCTGGAACTCTCTCTGTAGACCAGGCTGGCCTCGAACTCACAGAGATCCGCCTGTCTCTGCATCACGAATGCTGGGAATAAAGGTGAATGCCACTAATGCCCAGAAACTTTCAATATTTTTTAAAGCTCAAAATTCTTCTAAATTAAAGGTATGTTAGAATCAGACCAAAAATATATCATTTTATTATAACATGAAATACTAAAAAATGTTATAAATAAGGCATGACTCAGAAAGTGATTTAATTTTAAATTATAAATTAGAAGAAAACAGAAAGATAGAAAGAAACACATTCAAATGTGAATCATACTCTAATAGGTAGCAATAGTCTTCTGAACTTACTGAATTGGGTATCATAGGTGTCATGATACCTTATACTATTTGCTTACATAACGACAGTTTACTTCCATCTAGATTCTTTTAACTCTCAGTTCAATCAGAAAGCATGATAACTCCTATGGACTGCATGCCTGTTAACAATTCAATTATGTTAAACATTTCACGAAGCATAATTAAGAAAGACAGCATAGGCCAGGCATTGGTGGTGCACGCCTTTAATCCCAGTACTCGGGAGGCAGAGGCAGGCAGACCTCTGTGAGTTGGAGGCCAGCCTGATCTCCAGAGCAAGTGCTAGGATAGGCTCCAAAGCTACACAGAGAAACCCTGTCTTGAAAAACCAAAAAAAAAAAAAATCATATATAGCAAAACTCTGAGAAATGCTCCTGGTATCTTTGTGGGCCACCATGCACCATATCTGTGTGGGCTAGAGCACCATGGGACATGAGGACATTGGGGATATATTAGATTGGATCTTTGTGGTGCCCATTTTGAACATTGGAAGCCCATATTCCCAGTATCTACAAATGGGGTAGGCCCTATTTGGGATGCTTTAGAATATTCTTTAAAATAAATAAGCCATTAATCAAATGTACTGAGAAAGGAACAGCACAAGGTGATGTTTTTTTATACCTTCTTCAGTTCTTTAGCTATACTGTCTTTTTTTTTTAACTCCCTGATGAAAAAGCATTTTAATCCACTCATATTCTAAAGGCCAAAAGATAATAACTAAGCACAGCTCTAGTGATTAGCAATATTGACAATATCCGTATTCATTGCCAACCAAAGAAGACTTCCTTATCACTTAACTAATATAAACAGTTATATTCCCACCTGTTCTTAGACATCGGTTCTTCACACTTGGGCAGCTATGGCTAACACTATAGATAACACAATAGAACATCTTTGCTTTGCTTTGCTTTGCTTACAGTAAGTATTGGGATTGGACTCTATAGCCCTGAGTCTACCAAATACCAGATAACATCAACCAAATCCCTCTGGCTTGCTCATTCTTGCCCTCCTTGTGATCACATATGAGGTTAGGCAACCAGACTGTATGATCTTGATATCTGTCCTAAAACCTCGCATCTTGTAACTCACCTGTTGTAGAGTCCACCGTTATTCTGTAACCCACAATTGGATCAAATGGTCTCTCCCATGACATATGAACAGTATTTTCATCTATAATTTTAAAATTCAAATCGGAAGGTGGGTCAACTGCAAAAAGAGAGTGGAAATTAGTTGCATTTTGCAATGTCAAAAAATGCTTAATATGATTAATGAAGAATTGTGTTGAGCAAAGCTTACTAAAGTTGTCTTTGCATAAATTTGTTTCCAACAAATATAAAAGATATCTTGTTGGATCAGAATAAAATTAAAAGCTGACAAGATATGACAAAACATCAGAAAGTGTACAAATTACAGAAGACAGCACGGAACACTTGATTCTTGAGTTGCTAGGTCATTCAAGAATGGCCAGCAAAATCAAGCAGAATAGAAACATGTTTGGATACAAGAACAATGAAATCACATATAATAACCACATATGCAAACAATTCACATAACAATTAAGGAAATTCAATACATGCTGAGTGCACTTTGAACAAGCATGCCAAATCACAACCTGCTTACAACCATGGACGTTAATTTAGAACAGTGACATCATACATTTTTATAATGTGGAAAGAAAATCACTGATGGTTTGGGTTCAATTTCTGCATTGTTGCTTTGTTATTTTGTTTGAGAAATCTCAGTCTGTGGCAGAGGCTTTAAAAATGTATTTGAATGGAAAGATGAAATCATAAAAATTGGAATATGTATCACAAGAAAATATACATTTAAGTATATATTCATATTAATATAGGCAAATATTATAATGAGATGTTAATAATGTATGAGTATATGAGCAATGCTAGAGATGTTTATGAAACTGATAGTCTGCCTGTTTACACCAATTTGCTGTGCTCCCAAGGTGTAAACCAACACGGTCATTGCCTTCATAGTAGGCATACTCCAAACTAGAAGTAGCATTTTAAGTTAAAAAATGCCGGTATGGTCCTTTACAAAACAATGGTTAATTATGAAAAGACAACATCAATGTATATTTATGGACAATTATTTACAAAACTTGAAGGAAACAGTAAAGAAGGATCAGCATTGGGAGACATGACTGCATATAAAAACTTGGATGACAGAAATAACTGTGAAGTACAGAAAGGAACAGTTTACATACAAAACTGTACAGCATCATGCATGTGTCAATGAAATGTTGACTTATTTTTAGTTTCCCACAATGAACAAAAGCTTCCATGTACAATAGTCATTACACAAAGACATTCCTGAAATATTTTACAATGATATTCTCTGCAACAATGTTAATGCCTCCTCATGCAGTCTTGTACTGACTCACTGTCAGTGCATGGTCGATGCTTCGAAAATCATTACACTTGAAGCAAGTTCGATAACTAGATGATTTTCTTCTTTAAATATCTTAGTCTACAGGTCTTATTCCTTGTGAGTGAGTTGGTTTACCTCTGTTTTAAGAGGTGACCATCTCCTTTTAGAATTTTATGAAAGTCAATCGAAATGCGGTAATAGCTCTGAGAAACAAGTCAGAATTTAAAGGGATTAGAGCTGTCTTTACATTCATGGCACATTTTTTAAAGGAAACATAACTGATCAGGCAAACATCTGCTTTAATAAGCCGCCACCTCCACGTGTAGGAGTTGTCTTTATTTTTATTGGCTACATTGGTAGAAGAATGAATGTTACTTTCTTACTATCCATACACAGGCAGTGAGATTAGGACTATTAATCTGCATGCACAGTTTAATCATTCAGCATTCTTCTGTCTGTAACCATATTGCAACGTTTAGCAGAAGTCATCACTTAGTATATGTAACAAACATGCAACAGATGTTAATAGGACGATGGGTATTAAGAATATCATTATAAAATATTGTTCCAATAGCAATGGCTCAGGACAAATTTAATGCAAAGGCAGACACAACTGGCCTGAGCAGCTTTTTAAAAAAATCAGTACATGGAAAAATAGTACCACCAACCTTGGAGGAAATAGACCTGAAGCAGCTGACATTAGGGTTAAAACTGCTGAAGGTCAGCAGCGGCCCACCTTGTTGATATCCAAGTGACCAGGATTCCAGATAGACTGAAAAAATGACTGTGGGGGGAAAAGTCTTGAACATTTTAGAGGCTTTTAAGGTGCTCATGGGAACTCAGATGTGGTACACGTGATTCGAAAGTAGGAAAAATGACCTATCAATGCGAAAAACAGAGCTTACCCTGCTGTTCTTCTCATTGAGTTTACCAAATAGACAACGTTTCAAGGTTGTCATTTCAGTTACCAAGTTTGGGATTTTTCATCAGAAAAATAATGAAGTATGTGTGAGGGTATGACCTACATCCATTTAAATCATTACAAATAAGTGTTTTTATTGATTTGAGAATTTTTTTACATTAATTCACAACCACCATTACATTGTCATGGAGTCTGGGTGTTCCTGAAAACAATGCTGATGCTGGCATAGTACAAACACTAAACTAGCTAGACATGGTTTGTAGAAGCAAAGCACCATAGTCAAGTCAAAGGAAACAATTGAAAGTATAAATAACAATCTGATTCATAAAACCTGGGCACTTATTATGGAGAAATGAAATTTTAAGTATTTATAACTGACAGTTTAATTTCATACTCAAACATGATGCTTTTGTTATCAAAATACTGTGACAGGAAAGTGTCTTTCTGATGAGATCTCTGTTACTCAAACTGGTAGGATTTAGGACATGGTAGGAATGATCAAACTATGTAATAAATGTTCAATGTCTTCTATATAACATGCAGACATTTAGACATTTTACTTGTTGTTTCCTTTTGTATTTATAATAACTTAGCCATAGGCCTTGTAATCCTTGTTCTACAAATAAATTCAAAAGAAATCAGCACTGTTTATAGGTAACAACAATTTTATCTTGTGGTCTGAATAGTTTTCCACCACATTAGAGTAAATGTAAATAGGAGGACTATTTCAGTTAAAAAAAAAAAACACCTTTAGGACTCAACACTTGTTAATATGTACATACAATTTTATATTCTCTGAAAAGCCACTATTAGAAGAAATTTGGCTGCTCAATAGTATATGTGTAGCATACTGACATCTGCAACTCAAATATAGATAGAATTTGAAAGGCAGGTATGCTCACCACTATACCATCAATGTGTTATAGAACTTGATGTTTAACTTGTTCAAGTGTCTTGTTTTAAAGAAAAACAACCTCTTTTCCCATTGAAGTACCCAACAAGAGCCTATATCCAAAAATTAACCATGGCAAATTTACAGATGGATGGATGGATGGATGGATGGATGGATGGATGGGTAGATGGATGGATGGGGTAGATAGATGGATGGGTGGGTGGGTGGAAGTGGCTGTATGGGTAGGTGGATGAGTGGATTGATGGATGGGTGCATGGGTGGATGGATAAATGAATCAATGGATATAATATATGTTATAGATGAAGGAAGTCTAAAAGCTATACTAAAATATCAACTTGAGGTACAGGAGAGATGGCTCATCTGTTAAGAGCACTAGCTACTCTTGCAGAGGACCAGGGTTCAATTCCCAGCACCCACATAGCAGTTCACAATTGTCTATAACTCCAGTTCCAGGGAATTCAACACCCTCACCCAGACATCTATGCAGGCAAAACACCAATTCACAAAATAAAATTAAATACATTATTTTAAAAAAATATCAACTTGAGGAGCTCTTACTTCCTCATTTAGAAAATAAAACAATCAGAATATATGACATCTAAGTTCTCTGGTTTGAATGTTTTGTTGCACATTAGATATAGAATTTTAGAAATATGCATTAAATTAGTCCATTAATCTAACACAAGGCCATTAAAGGCATGACTTAAAATAACTGATGAACTGATAATAATTGTTTATTATATGTTATAAACTAAAAATAAAGCAAAAATTAAAACTGTATTTTACAAAGTTTGTGACCATCTCAAATCCCACATAAAGGAAAAAGATATCCAGTGCCCAAGGAATGGGACCTTTAACCATTTAATGCAAAGTTAACTTTTCTAAAAATCTGTTACCATTTGATATGATTCCAGACTAATTCACACAATCTAGGCCATACAGAGTACTCACAAAGTTTAAAGTCTGCTAATCTATTTAATAGTTACTTAAGGCCAAAAAAAAGTAATCTTTGCCTTTATTTCTATAGGACACAGTAAACTAGCATGGAAATATAATTCATCATACAAATAGAAGCAATGTGGAAAATAATTATCATGAATTTTAAAAGGAAAAATGTAAATTTCAAAATAATTTAAATTAACATAAAAACTGTGTTTCTAGCATATAAAAAAAAGCAAATTAAAAATAGCCAGAAACCATATAACTACAAGAGCATATGAGTCACACAAAAGAAAGCAAAGTAACCTTGGCTACCTTAGCAGAAGACTGCAAACAGAGGGGCAAGCTGAAATTTTGAAATGCCCCAACAGAAAGATTTCAGAGGGGAGAAATCTATTTTCTAGCTCAATGTCTTCAGAAAGACTTTGGCCACAAATTTTGTTAGCTCTTCACAGGCTCCCGGGGCCACTTAGTTGGTAGTTAACACCAGAACTGAGCTGCCCAACAAGGAGCAAACAGTCTCATGTGGCTACCAAGCACTTGAAGTGTGGCCAGTCCAAAGTGAAATGTGTTGCAAGTGTGAAGTACATATCCAGCTTCCAAAACTTAACACAGAAATACAGAGGAGGTCGCCTATGGTTTTTCTATCAATTACATGTTGAAATAATCGTATTATGGTTAAAAAAAAAAGACCTTTCATAAAAATCAATTTTCCTGTACCCTTTTTATATGACTATAAAAATGTTTAAATTATATATGTGGCTTTTATTTATGACTCATATTTCTGTTTGACACTGCCAAACTATAAGACAATCCAAAAATAAATCTTATTAAAATATATGACCTAAGGGAGGAAAAGACAAGAGCTTAAGGAAGAAAGAAAAGCAGAGAGAACTTCACTATGTGGAAACTAATACAAAGTTAAAAAATAAAACATTAGAAATAATGGAAATAATCAGGAAGGCGAGTAGTACTAATGTCCTTTGAAACTGTATTTTTCTGGCTGGTCAGCCAATTCAGAATTGATGTTTTCCACTTACCATTTGTCTTCAACCTAACCCTATACTTAAGAATTCTCAAAACTTTTATTTTCAAAGAACTGCTTTCTTAATGAGCAATAAACGGGCCACTTCAGTGAGTTATCTAAAAATATCTTTAGTAGTACTTCCAGAAGTTTCTCAAATAAAATTCCTTCCTAACTGACGACACAGCAAGGATTACTGAAAGGCCACCTCATCAGACTACTGCTTCAGGAGGCCAGAGTAGTCTCTACATTTACTCATCAAGTGAGCCCAGCCAGCAAGTGTCTCTGGAGCTTAGATGTGCTACACATTTGGAGAGGCTCTTTTTGCCTAACATTAATTCTCTGTACCTGCAGTTTTGAAGTAGAGCATTAAGAAAGAAAAAAAAAAAATCAGGGTTGTCAAGAAACAGTCCTACATACCCTACCCCTCTACAAGTAGTACAACCCACTGGAATTTCCAGATCCTACAGATGTCTGCTCCCTAACTTCATTAAAGGTGTTTCTTTAACTGGAGAGGGTAAAAAGACTTTTTAAGATTAACCCATTTATCTTTCGGAATACGATTAGTTTGCCAAATCTCAAATGACAGTTAAAAGAGCCGGTGAGATTATTACATAGAAGTGGCTTGCTCAATAAACTATGAGACATTAAAGCATCAAGTGCACCAAACAAAATAAAATTAGGTTAAAAATTTAACAGATGTTTTCTAGAGGGCAGGGTCACAAGAAGCCATTTTGGAGCTGCACTGTGGTGTCCCTGGTCACCTAGTGCCAAGGCGTTGAGGTCAGACGCGGCCAGGTCTCCCTGAGCCAAGCAAGGGTGAGCACGCCAAGGGGGTGCCCGGCTCACAGCCGCCTCCAGGCTGGAAACCCTGACCCACAGCCAACTCCTCTGAGCTGGGTTGTTCTAGGACATGTGCTTTAGAGACTTTGGAACCAAACACCAACAGCAGAGTCCCTAGGTTAAAAGAGCATCCCCTATGGGTTGGTTTCTGCTTGTCACTCATACTCCTACCCACCTACCCAAGTGGCAGTCAGTTTAACAGCTGGCTCCTTTGCTAGAAAATCTGCATAGCCAATCGGGCTCCCCTAATCTGCTCAAAGAAAAAAAAAGAAAGAAAACCAGACGCGCGGAGCGGGCAATGTTGGAGTCTTTTATTCATGTTGTCTCCAAGGTCTCAGTCCCGACCCAAGTGATCAGCTGCTGATCCTGTGAGGATGTCCATATTCTGAGGTTCCTGGTACCCAGCCCTCCAAGATCCTCTTGGTAGAGCTGGATGCAGCTGTTGCTCTATCCAGGGGACTGGTCCTCCGGGAAGGTGGCAGTGTAGATGGCAGTGTGGACAGCACACTGCAGGCAAGCGCTAAGAGACCACACAGCACTGTACAGAATAGGGGAAGCAGAATATAAGAGCTGGACCTGAAAGCTTGGAAACGGACACACCTCAGAAGGAGGGCGTTTCTCTGGAGAAGAGAAATCACCGGAGAAGTGCAGAGGAAACAGAGCAAGCAACAGAAGCAGAAGAGATGAGTCTTTTCCTTTCTTGAATTCTTCAGTGTCACTTGCCATAAGAGAAGTAAAAGCATTTTACCTTCAGCCTCAATGGAAGACAGCAGTAGGGCCACGCCCAGGGCGGCCAGCGCTCGGGGAAGCCTGGTATGCATGCTTTGACCTCAAGCTCACAACCTCATGAAGGGATCTGTAGGAGAAAGCAGCGATCCATCAGAACCCAGACTGAGCAGGCCAGGAACAGGTTAGACAGGAGCCTAACCATGGTCCAGAACCCAGTCAAATTTGACTTACTAACAATAGCGCCCAGCCCAGAACATACTGGATCTGTTGTCGAGCCAAGCAAGTCAAGTTCTTCTAATAGGTCTAATCAGGGAACTAGTAGGGAATTCTAGTTTAAAGAGAGTACTCTTCTCCAGGGTACCAGTGCCCTGTGAAGACCTAACCAGACCCCACATGGCTTCATCCTGCCCAGGTGATGGATAATTTAGAGGTCATTTTGTCCCTGACTCAATCAAATGTCTCTTCCAGCTGGGGTTTTCATTCGGCTGCTTTTTCCTAACTGCTGAACTCTTTAGGTAACTGTGCTTTAGTGGTCCCAGGATGATTTGGCAAGAATAATAAACCTCTCTTATTCTATTTTCTTCAGTTTGTCCTGACTAAAAATATGCAAGTCTTTAAGATCTGGAATAGGTTACATAGGGATATGCAAGGCACAACTGAAACCCAGTTCTTCTGATAACCATGTTGTTTTCACATCTGATAAACCCTTTACCAAAAATGAGGGGGAACCAACTCTAAAATGTGTAATAAAAAGAGGCAAAGCAATAGAAGGGAGCAAAATGCCCTTGTCTGTTTTCTAAAAGTTCTTCCATTTTTAAAACCTCAATAATTCATCTTTGTGTTTAACTGGTTCTTAATGCTGGAAGTTTACAATTGATATATGCTCCAGAATCGAGAAGGTTCTATTATGACTTTTTCCTGATTTTGCAACTGGGTTAATTCCTTAGTAAAGAGTCCTACTCTTCTTTGGTAGTTTCCCAGCAGCACACAGTGGCTGTTTAATCAGCAGAATGGATGTTCTAATATATTCTAAGGTCCAATCTAGAAACAAAAGTTACCAGCAATGAGCTGGACTGAGAAGGTGCCTGTGACCAAACACAAAAACAGAACTAGAAGATTCATAGATGTACACATAGGCCTAGTGGCAAATGGGGGTGGGAGTGGGGGGAAGGACTGGTGTTTGGGAATCCAAAAATAAGCCAAAGGTTGGGCTCTCCTTCAGAAAGGAAACTGACAGTCTCCAGCCATGCCTTTCCAAATCTTTGGCACGAGGGTTAGGGACGCTTTCTTCATCTGAGTGTGAATTGCATTTTACATGTCTGATGAACACCCAAGCCAAATTGCCCAGAGCTCCTTTTTATGAAGCCAAGATTAAAATTTTGGCACAGCTCAAGGATCTAAGGGATTTTAGTAATGTCTTTTTTCCTAATTAACAACTGTGACATTCTAACCCTTTCCTACTTTAGTTTTAATTTTTTTTAATAAAAATGCATGACTGGCCCATTGGTGTTTCCATCACCAGGCCACAACTCGATACAAAAATTTAGGATGCAGTTGGAAATTGGGATCACGAAAAGTTAAAGCGTGGTAATCCACCCACAAAAAAATAAAAAAATAAAAAAATCCATGTGCTGTTTTGGGGGATTGTTAATATGCTGAACAAAAACTTGGGAGTCTTGGAAGTGCGTTTTTCTGGGGCGAGTGCGCCACCTATCGGTTTCCTGACTCAGCATCAAGAGTGAATCACCTCTCATTGGGGTATCCGATGAATAACTCAACCTTCTCAGCCAGCCAAGAATTCCGTCCATATACGTTTTACAGAAAAGCTTCTCTCTCCTTCTTAGCCAAAACATTTATCGGAGTGCTTAGCAACACTTCATTGAGCATTCTCAGACATCGATGTCTGAAAGCGGCCGCCCCTACGTGGCAGTAGGATTTCCCTCACTTCCCCCTCATGAATGAAAATGAATCAGCTGCCTGGAGTGGGGGCGCTATGGGAACTGGTCCCATCTGGACAACTCGCCCCTCCCCCAACCCTTGCTGGAAGAAGCCAACTCCTTAACTCTCTAAAGTTAATTTTTTTTCAAAGGCACCCACAGGCACACATATGTTCCAAGGACCCATCTAGATTCCAGGGGGCACATACCTCTTCTATAACTGCAACTTTGACCCTAGCTAGCCAAAGACGATCTTAGTCTCATTTCTTTTCTCCCATTCCTCCCCATGATTCCTTAGAAGACTCCAACCTTGGAGTTGGGGGGTGGGGAAGTATGCCTGACAGAGATCCGAAGTGGTCAGGGGAGCATGGCTGAGGTTTGTCATGGCTCTATAAATGCGTCGACTCCTCACACTCTTATCTCTACACCCAAGGATTGGAGAAGAAACCATCTCAAACCATGACAGGCCCTAGATAGGACTTAATCCCAAGGCACTCAGGAAGAACCCAAAAGGATGTCTCAGAAGCTGTGAAAAGCCAGCCTAACTCACAAACCCTTTAGACGCAGGGGATGATGAAGCCCAGGGCCGCTCCCCGGGAGCATCTGGAAATGCCACTCGCGCCCAGCCTCGCCACGCTGGAGCGCTTTCCATTGACCCTCCAAGGAATTCTGCACCGCGTGTGCAGAACTTCACTTCGTTTTCCTGCAAACTTCTTGTGCTCGTGTTGCAAGTCGGCAGCCCTGGCAAAGCTGCAGCCACCAGAAAATAGAGAGGAACCTCCGCAGCCCATGCGCTTCACTGAAAGC